TAGACACATGAAAACTAATTCCGACACAACTTGAATTGGACACACACAGATCGTTCCAAGCTTTGTATAAAAATTGAAATTTGCTTAATTAAAAGCCTAATAGCTGTTAATTAAAACGTAATTAAGTAGTGTTCAATATTCGTTAGTGTTCTAATTCAAAGCCGTGTTGTATCCCAATGCAGCTCACACAGCAAACGGAATTTGAACATGTGGATGTCGGCATTACGTATCAGTTAAATTTGAAGCACTGACGCAATACGACTCACCACGTGCCGAATATTGCCACACACAGTGTCGGAATATAGGGATTTGGTAGGTTTGCATTCTAAAGGCTTTTAAATAAATATGGCAACATTTTGTGACGTTTCATCGTTGCTGGCACGTAGTACGGTGTTGTGCGAGTCGAATAAAGCAAACAGAACTTGAGTAACGCATACGGTTATTTTTTTATAGTTTTTCATTTCTCGATGTGTCCTTAATGTGTCGTAATATACCGCGTTTACCCTAGCATTTCTTTGGTAAAACTGCTTAAACTTGATTTTAAAAATTATTTTTTTGCCTAAAGATTAGTTAATTGATTATTGATGGTAAAAATGTAAAATAAAAGATGATTTGTATCTAATGAGTAATGATTCATATAATTTGATTTATGATAGGACAATACAATATTAGGAGATGAAAGTAATTATGTTAGGTGTGTCACAGAGAAAAACTTGCAACTTGTAAGTACCTAATTAATATGGTGTAAGTAGGTAGTATCTTGAGAAATTGTGTACTGTAAAATGTAAATGAATAATGATGCAATGATCATGATGAAAGGGGATTTTTGAGCTTTTTAATTTAGAATTACAGTTCTTTTCTTTGCACTTTGGACTTGCTCACTATACTAATGCTCTACCTCTTTAACTGAAGTGAAAGATGATTATATATACCTAGTCTGATAAATTTAATGTTTTTTTGTTTTGTTCCAGCTTCTTCCTAAAGTCACTGAGTACACAGTTCGTGTTCCAAAGTAAGTATGAAAGAGTAGAAAGACACTTGATCAAAGTAGTGTGATTGTCTTACTTATAGGACTTGGGGGAAGTTTGATAATTTTTATCAAAATGAGTTTAAACCTAATTATTAGTTACACCAATGGTGTATAGTATTTTTTGCAATGTTTTGAAGTAAACCTGAATGTCCTCTGGACACAGCTTTTGTTTGCAAAACAGCATTTCAACCGCTCATAGTCGTATATTGAATGGGTCTCAACTTGAACTTGCATTACAATGAAGAAATCTTGCATGTGTGGTATATACAATATTTTACATAAAGCAAATTTGTATAAAATATTTTAGTACAAAGCAAACATATTATTTCTCCAGAAATGTGAAGAAGAAGTACCACATGATGCGCTTCCATAATGCCAATGGTGTCAACTTCAAGAACTGGAATACTGCCAAAATGGAAAGGGAAAATAACTACAAAGAATTCAAAAGTTTAGATGATGATCAGCCAAAGTAAGTTAAACTGTGATCTCTTGATAACAGATTTATTATTGCTAGCATTCATTAAAAATCCAGTCAAAAATATTTCAATCCACTTAAAAATTTTTAAAAATTGCTTGGAACTTATGTGCACATATTGTGAAACAGTTTAATATATCCTTCAGCATATGTACTGATAAATACCTTAAATAGTAGGTTAGAATAACTTAGAAATTATTTGTATAGTTTTTCTACTCAGGGCTGTAAAAAATTGTATAGATGAAAACTATCAATTTAAAATTTTATACGGATGGTGCATGCCTTTTTGGTTAATGGTGTTATCATTCTCAGTATATGCCAATTAAAACTGTAGAATAGCTGAAGCAATTTAAGTAATGTATCAAGCATTAATTAACTTGTGTTCTTGTTATGACTGACAAACCATTTTTCAGATATGGTGCAGGTTCTGAATTTGGCCGTGAGCAGCGAGATGAAGCCAGACGAAAGCGTTATGGCATCAACATAAAAAAATACAAAGCCGATGACCAGCCTTGGCTTTTGACTGTTAAAGACAAGAATTCTGGAGTTGCTACAGACAAAAAGTACACTTTAATCTATTTTATTCAGATTTTTTTGGTTTGATCTTGCTCAAGTTATTTTTTCATTAAGTATTTATATACCTATTGTTTCATTTTACTCTGAATTATTTTTCACCAGTAAGCCATATTCCAAAAATGAAAGAGCATTTGACATTCATAATTTTGAACTAGTCTCCATAATCGTGGTGTATTAAATTTTTTCTTGTATTATAATAAACTGTTCATAGTGACATCATAATTCTCTCATTCTTATTCATTCATTTAACCAATAGTTGCAATTTGTTTTCACATTCATTTAAACAGATATGCCATCCTGCATTTTTTGCTTGTTAGCAAGGTGATATTCTAGATTTATTCTCAGTAACAATTCCATTCTGTTGTTGAGAATTACTTGAAGTTTCTTTTTGAAAAAGGCTACCAATTTACTCTCTACCTATTCTCAGTGTTAGATTAAAATCGACTAAATAACCTTTTCTGTAGTGAGGGATAAAATAAAATTTTATTCCGTCATGCTCCTTCACAGGTCACATGGGTATTTATCATCTAGGCTTAAATTCTTCTTGTCAAATTTCCAATGCATGCATCACCATTGACTCTCAGCAGTGCTGTGAGGTATGCTGATTAAAGTGATGTTTTAATAATGGCAATATTCATTCTAGGTTCAAAGGCATTCGAGAGGGAGGTGTATCAGATAATGTGGCTTGGTATGTCTTTGTACAAGCCAAGGATGGAGCATTTGAAGCTTACCCTGTTGAAGAATGGTATAACTTCCAGCCCATACACAGATATAAATCTCTTAATGCAGAGGAGGCCGAGAAAGAATTTGAAAGGTAATTTTGCACTGCTTCTTGTGGTCTCATAATTTTTAACTAATGTGCATGTGTAAAGACTTATAAATTTAGCCTTACGACCCATTTATTATATGATCGCTAAGGACAAAGATGAAATGAATTGATAATGAACTACCATATATTGCATCCATCTTTTTGTGTGTTTTATTAACTATCACGGAATGCGTACCTATGTGTAAGTAATCTCTTATCATTAACTTGCATATGGAACTTACGTACATGTTCAAGGAAGTAAAGATTTAATGTCATAAAATTTTAGTTTGAGCATAGGTATTTTACTTATGACACCATATCCATTTTTTCATCTTGAGTTGATGAGCTTATATGGAACTAATAGTTCTAATAGTTTGTAAAAATCACGTCACAGGCGTGACAAGATCATGAACTACTTCTCCGTGATGTATCAAAAGAAGCGAAATGAAGATGATGAAGCAGATGCTGAAGAGGGCAGCAAGAAGAAAGCCAGTGCCAGCAAAGGTGCAGCCAGGAACCACAACATATAAAATATCATCATGTAGTTGTAAATAGTTTTATCGTAATTATTTTCATAATGATACCAATGCTGAATTCAATCTTTGTAAGTATCAATTACATTGTCTATAACAAAGAAGCCTTACACCACTTTCCAATGTAAAATGGGGTTATATTAATGCTCTACATTTACCCCAGCTTTCCAGCTATCAGAAATGGATGACTGGATGTCTGACCAAGACTCTGATGACGATGGAGATGAAGATGCGGAAGAAAAACTAGAAAAGAAACCGAAGAAGAAGGGTGGCAAACCGAGCAAATTTGTGAAAAAACATGGTGGGACACATTGACTTTTGAGGTTTACAATTGCTAATATATTTTTCGTGGTTTATTCCTAGCATACCTTATTAGTGACTTTTAACTGTATGTTTGAACAAAATAATTCATCACTTGAGACGTTTTTCTTTATTTAATACTGTAATTACATTAATTTCCCAATCATAATATAGGTATATATATTCTGATTTTGAACTTCAATTCAGTGGAGCAGTCATTGATATTTGCCGATTGTTCTTCTGATTGTGTTAATTATTTTCTGCTAAAAAGAATCAGTCTCAGCATTCATTATCAATTTCCATATTGTTAACAATATTATCATTAAAAAAAGGGCGAATTAAACTTATCATACGAACATAAATACTTCCGTAATTCATGCATCATTCAGATGTCATGCTTTTTTGTGCTCGTGCGTTTAGAAATATTGTGAGTAAGAGGATATCTGTTTTCCTGCAGTTATCTTGCCTAATTGCATTAAATTACTGCTAATAACGCATTCCTTGTAGGAGGCAAGCGACGTAGAAGAGAAGATGGCGAGTCTGGCACAGACTGTGAGGAGGAGAGTGACGAGTATGATGAAGGAGCTGAGCATGAATATGTCAGTGAAGATTCATCCGAGTGAGTCTTGAATACTTGAGCATTGTTCGTAAGATTAGATATGCAATAATCTTAATGGTTTAGTTTTCATACCCAGGAAACATTCTTTTTATGTAAACCAGAATAGAGAATTATTGATAACAACAGTTTCGATCTTACAGATTATGACTTGGAAAACTTATTCATTTATGATAACTTTTTCTAACTCGATTGCATTTTTAACATTAGGATGTATTGATATTTTTTTGGACAAAATGATTTGCCGACCTACAGAAAAGGGTATCAATAAAACAATTGTAAATTCATGTGCCTTCTATGAAAGTTAGTATATCTATTTTTCACAAAGGGACAGAAAGACGAACAGCTCTCACAATGCATTGATAAATTTTAGGCATATGCAATAATTTTTCAGTGCCATGAAATTTAATTTTCCCACAGCCCTGAACACGAGGACGATGAGAAGGTGACCAAAGAGATGGCCGGTGTAGAGGACGACACAGCCATGAAAAAGCTCCTCAACTCTGACGATGAAGACGACGAGAACGAGGAAAACAAGGACGAAGACAAGGAGGATCAAGACGAAAACGACGATGAGAAGAACAAGAAGAAAAAAGGTTAAATTCTGTAGACCTCTCATACGTTCTTGACTGTTAGTGACTCAGGACTTTCATGATTGCTCTAAGTCATTCGGTGTACATTCATGTTTTGTCTATTCATATTTCATCTATTCATGTTTGTATAAGAATGCTCGGATCTTAAGCTGCTTACATGTTGATATTTTTTGGATACCAAACAACAATACGAACTTATTTTTATTCATTCTATAGCAACATTAATGAATCCTTTTTGTGAGATGTTAAATTTTAAATGAGAATATGTATTTGTAACTTGGTTTTGCCGGCTGTTTATTCATTGTTTCAATATTTACTTCTTGATTCCTGTGCAGATTCTAGCTCCGATCTTAGCGATAGTTCAGACGATGAGAAGCCAAAGAACAAAGACCCTAAAAAGTGAGTTATCCATTAAATGCTAGGGACGATTTCGGAAGGCCTGTATATAGATTTCAATTATTAGCAGGTTTACTTGTAAGAAATTTTTGCGATTCTTGTTACGGATACTAATTCTATTTAAATTATTGTTTCTTCCCTACCTTCAGAGGAGACAGCGCGCCCCGAAATGCGGACATTCTTAAGCGCAAGATCGCCGAGAACCCTGACGGCCTCATGCCGGCCAGCAAAAAGCAGCGCCCTGAAGGGCCTGTCACTCCTGCTCCCGTTTTACCTAGGTGGGGCCAAGCACACACGACTGTAGCTTCCCTCACTTATCTTTCTACAATCTTAGCTGGCATTTTACAAACATTTTCTGTATTTTAAACTCCTATAAGGTGCTTTTTTGGGTTATGAGTTACCGCATTCATTGTCCCTGAATTACGCAACGCACCTCTAGTTAATGAATGAATCTTGTGTCTGGGATTATGTAAATTTCTTTGTATTTCCTGTTTCTCGCTTGAGCTATCCAACGCCTTCGTGTGAACTATATACCTGTTTAGGTGATGATCTGGGCCTGTGATGTAATTATTCATGTATTCTCTTCTTCCTCTGTGTAGCTGTCCACGCCGTCTTTTTTCATCTCTGTACGGTTGTTACGGTTTACTTTTCTTTATCTCAGTTGTCATTTTTTCACTACACTATCATCCTTCTGAGTTTCACATTTCCCCCTTTTCCACTGACAAACCTTCTCTTTAATTTCACTTCTTGTTGTTTGTTTGTCTGCTACAAATCATATAATCGATATTTAACACACTTCTACCTGTCCAATCGATCTGAAATTTTGCACACTCGCATAAAGTTGGAGACAATGCATGAATCAATGGACAGAATATATAATTTTAAATAATATGCGTTTAAAAATTACTTTTTAAAGACAACACTTCTAAAGAATCCAGTGTCTCAGATGTTACACATGTACAAAGAATTTCTTATTTTATTATCAAATATTAAAAAATTAGTTTTTAATTTAATTAAAAAAAAATTTGCAAAATTATTCATTCTGTCAATTGAGTCCTGCATTGTCTCCAACTTTACGGAAGTGTGCAAAATTCCACATCGATTGGAAAAGTAGAAGTGTGTTAAATATCGAATACAAGATATGTACCAGACAAAATTATTTGTTCAAATTTTTTAAATTAAAAAAATTTTTGTTTTCAATTTTTTTTAAATTATATATTCTGTCCATTGATTCATGCATTGTCTCCAACTTTATGCGAGTGTGCAAAATTTCAAATCAATTGGGCAGGTAGAAGTGTGTTAAATATCGATTATAAGATTTGTAGCAGACAAACAAACAACGAGAAGTGAAGTTAAAGAGAAGTGTTGTAAAATTGAAAACAAAAAAAATTTTAATTTAAAAAAATTTGAACAAATAATTTTGTCTGGTACATGTCTTGTATTCGATATTTAACACACTTCTACTTTTCCAATCGATCTGAAATTTTGCACACTTGCGTAAAGTTGGAAACAATGCATGACTCAATTGAGAGAATGAATAATTTTGCAAAAATTTATTTTTTTATTTTAAAAATTACATTAAAAACTAACTTTTTTAATATTTGATAATAAAATTAGAAATTCTTTGTACATGTGTAACATCTGAGACACTGGATTCTTTAGATGTGTTGTCTTTAAAAAGTAATTTTTAAACGCATATTATTATTCTATTCTTTAGTCATTCATTCTAATGTAACCCACGTCTACCTACACCATTTATGCAATGTGTGTACTGCTTCTTCCTAACCAACTTTAACAAACTGGTCTTTCATTGATGTGATATCTAGGCATATGAATGCTTAGCTTTTTTACCTAGAAAAAGTTGCAAACGAATACGAATCCTTGAAAGGTGTTCGAGTGTTCGAAACGTTACTTCGAACAACAGATAGCTGGTTCCAAGGCAATGGTGCATTTTTCCAATACTTTTCTTTTTACAACACTTCTCTTTAACTTCACTTCTTGTCTGTCTGTCTGTCTGTCTGTCTGTCTGTCTGTCTGCTACAAATCTTGTAATCAAAATTTAATACACTTCTACTTATCCTATCGATCTGAAATTTTGCATTTGTCAGCTACAAATCTTATAACTGATATTTGACACACTTTTACCTGTCTAATTGATCTGAAATTTTACACACTTGTGTGAAATCAGAGGCAATGCATGAATCAATTAACAGAATAAATAATTTGGAAAAAAATTTATATATTAAAAAAATTTATATATATTAAAAAATTGAAAAGTAAATTTCTTTAATTTTCGAAAATTAGATGAGAAATTCATTGTACATCTGCAAGATTGGAGATACTGGATTCTTTGGAAGTGTTGTCTTTAAAAAGTAATTTTTAAACGTATATTATTTTGTGTGTTCAATTTGCTCTTAATGACCACTTTACCTTTGCCCCATAGCGACAGCGGGATGTTCGAGGATCAGATCAGACGCTATCTCGTTAGGAAGCCGATGACAACAACTGAAATTCTGCAGAAACTCAAGAGCAAGAAAACCGGGCATGGCTCTGAACAACTTGTCGACATTATTGCTGTAATGCTCAAGAAAATCAACCCTCAGAAGCAGAGAGTGAAAGGAAAAATGTACTTGAGTTTAAAGAGCCTAAACGGATAGTTACTGGCGTTGAATGTCCACGTGATCGTGAGTGAATTCCAGGAATCGTGTTGTTAATAAAATTTATTTGTGTAGCGATGTTGCATTGTCCTGCAGTGAAAGATGAAAATACTTGTCCTCAATGCCTAACATATTAGGGAAATCATGTGTGATTAGTCAACCGAGAGATTGTCACGTTATCTTTTGACCTTTTGTTAACACTTGATGATATCGTGTTTTCTAAAGCAATTTGTGTAATGAACGTATGTTTGTTTAATAGAATCATTGTTTTCCATGGACTTTGCATCATACCCGCATTTGGATACATAACAATTTGCTAGTAAATTGCTACAACTCTATCTTGGTTAAAAAAAAACACCGAATAAATTTAGAGCAATTGAACTTTGATTCACTCGAAGGCTCCTATGTCTACAGTGAACACAGACCTAAAAAATGAATGACACATCATAGAGTTTTTAGTTAGACAATATTCCGTCGTATTAATTTGTCAAGGTGATAGTTACGCACTTCCATTATTTACCACACGACTTCCATTCATCTCACCGCACTAATACCTACTATCAGAGAACTAAAGGGATTATTACGCGCTATCTGCACCCACATGAACGACAAATGCCTAGTGCCAGTGGGTACAAACTCGGGAGTGACCATACCTTTGTATTCTTCATTTTCAAGGCGATTACCACGGCCTTAAATAATTGGTAATATATCGAACACAGGAATACAAATTCACCTCAGTGTACTAATATTAGCGAAGTACTAAGGGATTTATAACGTGCTATCTGCATCCACACTCGAGTGCGACCATGCCGTCATATTCCTTCTTGAAAGTGATGATCCCGTCTTCCTTGTATAATAGCGAGATTGGCCCGAGTGTGGTAGGTACGCAGCAGGCCCGCCTCGCACGCTCGGTGCTCTTGGAGTGCATAAGCGTTTGGATGACTGCGTGCTTTGTAGGACTTAGGTGCGACGCCAGCGGGTAGAAGCATTTCCCGCTGCACTGAAACGCCTAAAACGATTTCAGGTTTTAAAGCAGTCACAAACTGATGTAAGTGTATAGCATTTTGTATAAGGAATTATCGTGGGAACTGGTGCAACATCCTGAGCGGCATGAGCAACCCCTTGAGACACATTCGCCACTTAACAGAAGACAGCTAAAAATATATATATAAAAATACTCAGGTTGAAAATAACATACGGCTAAAACATATTTCTATTAACCTACACTACGAAGGAGCTAGTAGTGCTCTACCTATCAGACAATTCCAAGACCGTAATGGCTACATTCTTCTGTAAATTTCATTTCGGAGTATTATAAATTAAACATTCCAGGTACATTTATAGTATGCTCACTGAAAATAAGCATTCTGGTAAATTTTACATGTAATCGAAGAACGGTATCATGTTCATGATTACCCTCCATGGTTATTGATGGTCTCTACAACCAAATTATTTGGGCTAAGCAACGGAGTTTTAATCCATCGTTACATGATCCGTCTGTAAATATAGTATTTAAAACGTTAGCATTTCTACATTATTCATTGTGGTGACTTTTCAGCGTTTAACAGTATTTAATGAAGAAATAATCGTCAACACCATCTACATCACAAAAAAGCAAGCCTTGGAAGACACTCAATGCTTTAACCTAAACCATCATTGCAATTTTTAACAACTCGTCGAGAAAAACGAAGAAAGATTAGTATATCTGAGTGATGTTTTTACGACAAAAATGCCTCTAACTTGTACAAAAAGACAAACCTCATACTCAGTAGGGGCGATGACCCAGTCACTCCAGCCTATGCTAGCGAAGTCCACTCTGAAAGGCTTCCTCTTGCAGGAGTTTTTGGCTCTCCTTCGTCTACTCGCCCGGCGACCGTTGCGATCTTGGATCTCAGGCGGATCGTCGTCTGCTGCCTCCAGATCCTCTTCGAACGCTTCCCATTCAGCGTCTGTCATGCTTCTCTTCTCACGCTGTGCAATGATGACACGTTAGTGCATTGGTAACATTAAACCTTATTCACCGTACGAAGACTAAGTTAAAGAAACCAAACTAATACTTTTTATTACTAAATTGTGACTTTTTGAAATTTGTGGACAATACATAATTGAAGGTGTTTTTGGAAACATAATTCGTTCATGAATTAGTGAAATTTAGGGTGAGATTGGATGCGATGATAAACCATCATGATAATTTTAAGCGTTTTTCTTTATAACTATATTGGTATCAAGCTATAAAGTGTTCAAAATAGTAAATTATTAGCATAATTTAATTTATTATACTAATTACAATAAATGTCGTTTAATTTTTAGAGCTCTTTAATAAATCAAAAAGAAATCAGAATGCGTTAAAATTATCCATTGCGAAATGCTCGCGGCGTACAAACATGGCCGAAAAAAACTGAGTCTTAATTTTAGTGAATAAGACCTGTCCTGCAACTTACAAATATGGCACATTGAAATGGCCACTCAAGCATTGCAATATGAAATTGGAATCCGTAAGAATGGCCTACAGGCATAATCTACGTAGAATTTGATACACAGTCTTCATCCTTTCGCAGATAGGTAATTATCATTAACGACTAGTATTGTCATCATTGCTAAAGTAATCATGATAACTATTTGTTTAATATAAATGTTAGTAGCCTCACTCGCCGCCGTGCCCCCGGCTTGGACGTGTACAGAAGAAGCATCGGCTGTAGGTCGACGTCCTGGAATGAAGAGTCTACCAAAAGCTCGCCCGTGTTGCCCACCGTCGTAAAAATGTTCTCTACATCCACCTGGTACAACATCAGTGTTTAGAAAACTGGCAATGCGTTATCTCGTCCATACATTAAATTTATGTTATGAATCAGATCCTGAATTAGGAGCTCATTAATAGTAAGCGAATGCTAAAAGTTTCATCGACTCTAATTAACTAAAACCTTGCAAATACATTTAAAAACAAGTCAAGTAATTAATAAAAAGTATAGCAAACCAAAAGTAGCCTCTGTCTTGGTATTATTCCCCCCCCCCAAAAAAAAATATCTTCAATAAAATTATGTTCTCAGTCCAATCTAATAAAAACAAAGCTAGAGAATAGCTTATCTCGCCGATAGGTTAGCTAAAAAAAATTACTCTCGTCAATAACAACGTCAAAATTTTCTGAGGCGCGCAAGAATACCTGCAGTGTGGCTGGGTTCTGATTTCGGAGTTCCTTCAAAGCTCTGGCAATATTGAAGGACAGCCATGAGTGGTTGTGGAGATACGTATCCTTCCATGCTACCACCACTCGGCGGCATCCTGTCTGCCTCTGTCCTTCAGGAACGCATTTTACGAAGGACACTCGAAGTCGTCGCTCCAAACCTGGAGCACGTAATAATATAATAATAATAATATAGCGATTTCAGCGTTATTAGGCCGTAGGCCTGTCGCCGATTCTTAACATCGCAGAACATTCACAACATTTTGCGGTCTCGAACACGCAACTCACTGCTCCAATTCTGCTATGCTTAACCGCCCGGCCTCCTTGCCGATTATGACCAGAAACTGGCGCACAGAGCTGGGATCGAACCCGCGCCTCTCTGCTCCAATCTTGGTACTCTGAACTTTAACCACTGGGCCACCCTGCCACCTTTAACAACAAATTTTAAACAATAGCAGAATTGTTGTGAATCTTAATCATCTTCGAGATTAATTTTCAAAATCAGTGTTAAAATTTGCTACATTTATGGTTTAATATACAACAGTATGATGAGACGAATTCGATAAAACAGGAAGTCTAAATGAATGAACATTTGTATGAAACATAAATTCCTAAATACATTCAAGGGCATTCGAGAACAATCGCAAGTTGTTTCATATCAATAAACTGACTAATAATTTTTTCAAATTCTTGAATACCTTGAAACAAGAATTGCCAAAATGAATTAAACTAAGTAGTTAACAGCCCTAATGACGGCATATCAGCACTGCTCACGACAATAATAAAAATCTACACTGCCTGACTTGTCTTCTAACCTGCAGGCGATTTTTTGTTTCGCACAAGAACGTGAAGACGAAGCATGAGCCGCCTGACGTGCTCCCCCTTCGGCAGCATGATCTTGAAGACGAAGGTGCTGCTGGTGTGACGATGTCCCTCCATTGCCGGTCTGCCTTCGTAACCTCTGCTGTCAGACTCGACCGCTGCGCTGGACTCTGTAAACATCACAAACTACTTGACACCCGAGACGTAAAGCTGCACGAGTCTCGTGACGAAACCTTGCTGCAAAATCTCTGCTAGGTATCCCTAAGTACAAAAAATATAACTCAGTACTCACTGCAGTGAGTGACAGAGAGCGCATTTTCTCGTCGACGAAAACGCGGTCACGGACGGACAGACGGACGGACATGACGAGCACAATAGCGCCTTTTTCCATAAATGAGAAAATGCGCTTAAAACCGAATTACCCAAATACGAGTATATTGCCTTAACTTCGAGATAAAGAGTTATTTTCAAATCATTCCGTAGGCGCTGATCACATATTATAAAATTAGGATCGTCAAGCAGCGAAGCAATTTTACGGATAAAGTCATTCAATTAGTTATCTTGCATAGATGGGAAGAAATTTATAAACGAAGGATACCCAAAAGAAACCGGACTGATTTTTTTTTTTCATTTATCAAAAATGTTCTTTTAGAATTTGCAGGAGTGAATTCCGAGTCACTTGGGACAGTTCCACACGTTCGTAAATACTTCTACGTCGATCTTCAGGGATTATATCCCTAAATTTCTCGACATCTTCCCCAGCGCGGTTAAGTGGATGGACGACCTGAGCGATGTTGGTTGATTTCCCCTTTTTTGAAGTGGGAAAACCACTCAAAAACCTGCGTTTCCCCTATAGCATCATCCTTGTCGGCTCGATGTAGCATTTTCTAGCCAGTTTCTCACAGAAGAGAGCAAAATTTGATGGCAGCATGTTCGTCACAAAAGCAGTCATCATAAAAAAATATAACTTAGTACTCACTGCAGTGAGTGACAGAGAGCGCATTTTCTCGTCGACGGAAACGCGAAGTCACGGACGGACAGACGGACATGGCGAGCACAATAGTGCATTTTTTCCATAAATGAGAAAATGCGCTAAAAAGACGAGCGAGCAAAACAAGCGTCACAGAAAAATTTGCGATAATTGAACACGGCCTTCTAGGCCAGCAATGCCTGGAACGCTAATTGAGGAATATGTCTGTAGCTTATGCACATACTGGGAGGATGTGGTACTATCAAAAATTCGCCCACTAGTCAGTTCGGGTATACAGTATATGGGTCGCCCCTCGTATGCCTGATTGTTATTATAGTACGAATTATAATTATTGTTTCGCATCATCATTTAAATTATGTCTTAATTTGAGATATGACCTAAAAGTGTATCCTGCAAATCAGCATAAGGATGATTTACTGATTTTCGACTGACTTATTGACTAATGCGTCAATTTTAACAAGTAACGTGTCTGAAGGATGAAATTTGTCTCGGTTACCTACTACAATTTCATTTCAAAATGTTTTTGACTTATAGCATTAACATTTGAAAAACTTTCCTTTACATGACACACAACCTATGACACTGACTCCCATGATCCCAAAAAGAATTTTAAAAGTATTAAGCGCAAAATTTAACTTATTGGTACTTTATATTCCAAGCGTCACAAATGTTAGCCTAACCTTCCGCAGTTAAAGGGGGTATGTCTGCATTTGCTTGTCGTTGGCACAAGTCACATTGCTTTTTTAGGCGACAGCATTGCCTACCGTCTTAACGAAGTGTACTCAAAGAACCAAAAATTGATTCGTCAAGCACTGTATGACACAGTGAGCTCTTATGGCTGCTCACTGCTTGAGTGAATTAAAAAAAATTCTATTTCCATTCACCTAAAATAAATATGATAAGCATTTATCTTAAAGGAAATAAAAGGTGGATTACCAACCTAAGTAAATCGCCTATAATACCACTGTGTCACCCATTTATAAAGCTGAGCTAATGAATCTTGACTGTAACTTGCCTATATGAGCAGCGCAGCCATTCAAGCTTTGGCAGCCTAAACAAATCATGGTGGCGTTTTTCAGGTTCTCGAGACTCGCCAATCCCTTGCATGCAACTCGACGTATTATTGGAGCCTGGAGTGACATCATTCACTCACTTTTCCTCGTTAAATTTTGTAGACTAAAGACAAAATATTTTATGTCATAACATTTCGAAGAATATGTTGTAAATTATCAATTACATGTGTGCTTGAACAACTAATTTCGAAATTAAATAAGTAATTAGAACTAAAGTAAAATAGAGACCGCTACTTGACGATCTATGTACACAGTTAATGAATCATTTTCAATCCTAATGTAGCCCTGTCTTTCACGTCACTTAGTACCAAGACAATGGAAGACCTACAAGAGTCGCACCGCGCCCGTCGTTCTGTCACTGACTGCAATCTAGACCTCGACAACTGATATACTAACTTGATGTTTACCCCACCGTCAATTCATGTGAAGTTTTCCTCGTCATTTCATGTTCCGCCTAGCCATCATTACCATTCCTTCTCAAAATCATTCATCCATTCAATATAATTCAGATAAAGTTCAAGAATTCAACGATTATTCGTTGATTTGGGTGTGGGAATTTATTTACGGGTACTAAAAAAAGTTTATTCCTTTTATCACTTCAACTTTGACATAAGATAGCATTTTTAGTATAAATTTTTCCTAAAAATTATTATTTTAGGCAGCGTGAGACGCAAAATGAAGTGTTAAGTATCATTTTAAGACAATTGAATCACTTCTAATATGGTCCATGTTAGATTAGAATCACGTTCATTGTTTTCAAGTCGGCAGCCAAGCCAGCGTTTCCATTGATACACCGAAAGCCTCGACCACCGCAGCGACGGTCGCTTCTTGTTCACCTGACAAGCTCTTAATTAGAGACCAAACAATGGGGTTAACGAGCCCTCATCTGACAATAATTAAGTTAACGTAGATTTTGTCTGTCTTCTCATTAAGTTTCCTTGACGTGGTCAAATGCGTTCGCTATTCGTTCACTTTGGAAACAAATCATAATGTTTTTCTTTTCTGTACAAATCATTTCTTAGCTATTATTATTTTCAGAGTACAGTCGCGGCCAAAATTTTTGTCGCAAGTGATATTTTTTGGATAATTCAATTATGAGGTCTGAAAGAAAATTAAGAAACGTCAAAAATATTTTTTAACTTTAACACAAAATAAAACATTAAGCCTAATGAAATCCTTGAAGATTTTGGCAATGAAGAATTGACAACATGGCCTTGAAATTTTCCAGATTTGAACCCTACCGAAAATTTACGGGTCATTCTCGAATAAAGGGCGAACACAAGTCAAAGAGGGTAAATACAACTTCTACAAGGACTTACAGGACTCGATTTTGCAAGAATGGAACTTTATTGATATGAACATCATTCAAAATTTGATTTTTAGCGTGCCTAAGAGATTAGAAGGGGTACTTCGTAATGAGGCTCAGCAATACAAATATTGATACCTTTAGGAAATTTTCATAATATACTCATGCCAAGAACAAGAACCAACACCAGGGGCCACGGCTATATAAGCTAAAAAAATTGCGCTGCAACTTCTCCACGCGACAAAATTTTTTCTCGCTTCGAATCACCGACATGTGGAACCCCCACCGACAGCCTCCCCGATGACATCGTTGGAGCTCCAAGTATGAACGCGTTCAAGAACAGACTAGATAAAGCTATGGAAAAATATATGTTCAGATTTGAAATGCCTAGAATGAAAAGATCCGATCAAATGATACGAGTTTAGATCTATGAACAAGGCACGAAAAGGAAAAGAATCGGCGACAGGCCACATCAGGCCTACATTTCAGCGCCGACATCATTATGTTATGTTATGTTATGTTATATACCGAATTTGTCGTGCATGATTCCGTTCGTGTTAATGTTTTCTTTTGTGTTCAAGTTAAAAATAAATATTTGATTCAGATAAATATCTGATTTTGTTTCAGACCTCATAATTAAATAATCCAAAACTATCACTTGCGACAAAAGTTTTGGCCGTGACTGTTCTCAGAAATCTATGAATATAATAATAGCTTCCTGTTCCGATGAAAACGATTTTTCGCGAAATTTTTCATGCGTTGCCACGCAGTTTTATTTCAAATGAGGTGCCAAAGAGAATGTTGAGTGCGAGTGAAATAACATCGTATGAAGAGAATGATTCCAATGTGGTAGCAATAAGAATTCATCTTCGGCAGTCATGCAAACCATTCACGTTGAATATAACTTCCATATAATATGTCTCTCTTTTTCTTGTACCATTTTATTAAATTTGTCGTTATTTTATATCAGCGCGTTTGCTTAATGTCGTCAGCAATATTACAGTAGTTGTTTAGAGCATATTTACATTTTCCTACATTCATTTATCTTCGAGAATAAAAGTAATTTCCTGTAAGTTTACATCGATCCTTGAATTTCCAAGCTATCAAGTATCATCTACCAGACCTGGGACTAGCGCAAAACTTTCTACGGCAAATCTATGAAGTGAAGGCAGTGAAGTTTGAACTGTCACGACGAGGCTAGCCGGTGTGGGCGTGGGTCGTCATTATGTTGTTATAAGAAAGTGCCTGACTGTCCATCACTGCTCGACCTTCATTAGCCTCAGCCTACACCAATCATGCACACTTCATCACGAACGATTGTGTGCTACAATGTACCCTATTGATCGGAAGTGTAAAATCATCCACGGCCGATCATTGTCCCTTAATCCGCCTAAGAAACGCCTATGATAATTAGGCGGGGTGGCCATCGCCGGCGACCGGACCGGTCGCTTCAAAAGGAAACTCATGAGCACATATAAACTGGTCGAGGAGTCGGCGCCAGAGATGCGACTAAGTATTTGAGATCGTCAATGATTAGCTCGACCTACTGCGTTCAAAGGGAACAGTGACGAATACTTATGAGTTGGTACATGGGATCTGCATCGTCACGACATTACTCTGCATCTACAAGCAGAGTAATTTTCTAGTTGAAACATAGTATATTAAATACATAATAACTTTTGCTTGCTTTTTCTTTGACTAAAATTAACTATCTTAGTTGTTGCGATTGGTTCGCACCCCAAATATTAACTTTTTTCAAATTGTGACACCAACAAAAGTTTTGCTTAATAATACTTATAAATTAAATTGTAAATCATATATAGGGCTACTTGGTAAACGGAAGGACTCTCAAGCGATTAAAATCCAAGCTTCTAAGAAGCAGCGAACATGGCTGAAAATTTTCTGCACTTTATTGAGTATCTCGGCCGCTATCTGGATCATTATTGATATAATATGCATAATCATCATCTCTTATGGCATGAGTATATTATTTTAGCCCGACGCACTTTCTCTCATTTACATAAATAAGCCGGGAGAAATTCTGGCCCATACCAACAGCTACTGATATCAACGATGTCCAATTAATTAGTCGACTTTTTCATTTACATTTACTTAGACAAAGATGATGAGAATAAGATATTCAAGCAGCCAGATGATTCTGAACACATGAAACCGTTTTGTTATTTTACTCACTAAAATTCTATTCGTATGGCAAGGTAAACGTGTTGGCTTCCGATCAGCATAAAAGGATTAGATCACGCTGTCTCTGCAGCACAGTCGGCGTGTACAAAATATATTAAAATAACAATTTTTAGGAAAGCGAAAACTTTCTAATGGAATTTTTGAAATGAATCTGATGGCACACAGGAATTTTTGTCTATATGTACGAAAAAATCCTACTGGCTTGGCGCCGTCTCAAGGTTGCGTGAGAGTCACAACGAGTGGCGGTGACTTTTGTATGTTGATTTCAGGTAAACCTTTTAGTTACGCGCTGTGCTGAGACTTAATTTTCAGTCACTTTATCTCGTTTGAATCACTCAGCTCATTAAAAATTAAATAGTTATTAATGAATCCCACCGATTGCTTTGCATCGAAGAATTAATTAAGTTACCCAATTAGTTGAATTATGCGATCGAATCCATCCGATTTATCAGCGGGCATGCGGCAAAGTTCTATATTCTGATTATATTCTGATCTGATCCAGACGCAATATCACGATGAGAAAATTAAAAATTGTACATGATCATTTTAACAATGCACTGTAGCGCATACTAGAAATCAGGAATGCAAAAATTAAAATAATAGTTCGAACAGCACATCAATTGCCGCACGAGTATATTGTTCATCAACAATATGAGCTTTTGATCTGATAAATAGCCCCCGTTTCCTTCCTGCGGCATGCCAGCTCTAATCTTACTTTGATTATAACGGCCTAAATTGGATCGCATTAGTTTCATCAAATCAAATCCGATAATTTCAACGTAAACGAAGTTTCGCTTCGGTGCACGAGTCCTTATGAGTTAGAGTCTTCGAATGCATTTGTTGAGTTGTGAGAATGCATCATGTTTGTACGGTCGCCTGTCCCATGATCAGTAGGCCAGTCATGCACCGAGCAGCTGCACTAGAATCACCAATCTTACCTTTTAGGCCGAACTTGCTCCACTATCTCCCATAAAGGCTACGGAGATTTACGCAGCAGCCTCCTTGAATTTTCTGAATTTAATTAACTTACCATGAGTTAATTGTCTGAGATTGCCATGCATTTCTCTCTGAAGTCAATCATAATAATGACGCACCTAAAGTTACATATTTGGAAATTGGCTTGAATCTACCAAGTCACTCTATGATATCTCCAAAACTGCAAAACTGTTCAAGACAATGCTTATAGTTAGTAGCTCACACTTTATGTTTTTTTTTAAACAGCGGCAATAACTTTTATTTTTCTTTGATTGTATTACCATATTCTTAATTAAGAACTCACATTTGGTCTGTTTTCTTGTACAAACGCTGAATATTTCATCTGTAAACATCAAAATCTATCATAAAATGAAGACGGGTTAGTTGAAGACGGGTTATGAGTGAAAATTTCTGTGCAAGTAGCGACTGATACATGGTGAACATTTACATTATTAAATTTTAATTATTTCGTACATAGAGATTTCAGGCCACAGTCTTTGAACTGAACGCCTGCCTCACCATTCTGGACAGAGACGGCAGGGAAGCATCTGACAGTGTCAGCCTCATACGGAGCAGAAGAACCTCCGGTCCTGAAGTTCATGTCGTAGAGTTCCATCATAACTCGAGGTACTTTATCCTGAGGGTGCGACCACGATCTTGAAATGTTCGTCAATCGTAACCCCGAAGTTGTGCTTTGAAGTAAGCTCTCAGTTCGTGTGTTTGTGGGGTCTAGTATAGATTCATCTGATAACGGATGTGAATCTGTGACGTTCAGGTGACTTCCTGAATTTGATCCAGTATGAAAGCTATGTCTTGTTTGCGGAAACGTGGACTGCGAAGCTAGATGCCCCTTGTTGACATACTGTCTCCGTTGCCAGTCATGCTTCGTCAAAGATGTAGAAATGACTTGGGTCGACTTCTCTAATGTTCCATACTGATCTGAGCCTGTTTTCATCGCACAGCCACCTCGGTCGCACATTGTCGCTAGGACAACAATAACCAACAACCTAAACGTCACTAATATCTTCCTCCGGCACCCAAACGCCCCAGATCTCGTTCTCTGAAGAACCATGGGAGGCGGTCACTGCATCGTCTCAAACCCCGGCTTTCTTGGGGTCTCATAATTATGCCTCTAAAAACTCTCTGCCTCAAATCTTAACACACTGCCAAATTCTGGGATTTTTTCCATTCGTATAAATTAAAACCAAAGTCAAGGTAATGAGAAGAAACTTGCGCCGTAAATGAGCCAAATCATCAGTTATTTGAAGGAGACTCGGATCATTCATTCAAGCGTCGTCTATGGAATCAGACACATGTCTTGCATTGTCGACGTAATCGCACGTTCACAACCAACAGTCACAAGGCTTCGTTTTAACAGTAATAATTGCACCAAGCCCGTCAGAGAATAGTTCTTTTTTCTTATTGACAATCAATGAACACGTAAACTGCTATTATCATTTTTTATTAACAATAAACCTTATTTTGAAATGTTTAAAAAATCTGACGGATGATTTTATCTAGTTGTATAGTGTCTCAGCAATTAAGAGGCTTTTCGTAACTATACCAAAGAAAAACTATCCTACAAGCGAAACTTTTAGTACAAAAATTTTCATGATGTTTACAATGCTGGCAGAAGCTTAGACTTGCGCACAATAATTTTTATTTTCGCTGGTCAATCTCACGACAGACGCAATCTTTATTTCTCAGGACCGGGTAGCCAGGGAACAGACACACGACTGGTGGAACGCTCGGCCACACACTGACTCGTTCACAACGCCGCGTGGATGGAGCTAAATTATTTAGTTTGCTGGACGGTGATCTTATGAAGAGATCAGCAACGCTCTTATCAGTAGCTTGCTTTCATTGTTTCATGCGGTACATTATATTATAATGAGAGGCACCATCAAATGAAACATGTACAATTTCAACCGTAAGCCTCATGAACTACAGTTAAAAATATTACCGATGCTTTTGTAAGCAGATTAGCTCATTTTATTTTTTCCTGTCCGGCTGCTAATAAGATAGTTTTTATATTCCCTTGCAATTTTTCTCTGTTCAACTGATCCCTTAAGTGATATAATTTCTAATTTGTAGTAAGTATTAATTCTTGTACGTAGAGTACATAATTGATTGTACGTAGAGTACATGAACAATTAGCCCCTTAATTACTTCTGAGGTTTCAGAAGAAAAATTCCGCTTAAAATTGTAAACTGCAGATTAACAGATAAACTTTCAGTTGATTGTATTCGCTATTATTGTTTAAGCAATCAATAATTATAGCTGCGCGGCCAATTTCAGGGAGTATCATTGCAATTAGTTTGATTTCGCCCCTCCTTGTCCAATTTCATGAGCGCTCACATCATTAAAATTTTTTTTTGTGCTCACTACAATTGATTTTGTCCAGCATCTCCTGCAATAAATTTCATTCAGCGCCCTCCGCGATTAATTTATTGCAGAGCTCACCGTGTGCAGAGCTCGCCGAGATAAATTTCAATTTTCTCTAGTGCCCATCTAAAAATTTTATCTGCATCACATATCGACAAAATTCAACTTTCACGGCTAAATGAAACGTGAACGAACTTTATCTAAATTTTTTTAATTGAATCTTGTGAGTAAAAAAAACATATGATACAAAATCATCAAATAATTTAATTTTGTAAACAATCTCAAAAGTTTAACCTGATGTTTGTTAAAATTGGCTTTGCTCAATCGTATTGATAATGATCAAAACATCAGCTGATTAAGATTTCGACGCAGTGATAAGAGGTGATAATGTCGCATGATTATGTTGAAGATTCTTCACGCTTGTAACCAAGATTGCAATAAACAAACAAAGGGTTAGTTTATTAAGTGATAGGGATCACACTGCATTGCTAGAGTGTCATTAAAATCTTTGTTATTTCTGGTATAACATCAATTACAACACGGAGTACTTAAATTGAACGAAGATTTTGAACCTGAACATATGTGTTCAATTTTTAACTGTTAAAGAGAATGTTCAATAGTTGAATGCTAAAATGAATGCTGAGTAGGGACATGTAAACATTCGTATTTTTTAGTTATTCCATTTGTCTAGTAACGCATACACACAATGCTGTACATTCTTCGAACATTATGGAACGCAGTTAGCCGCATCAGACTTTACTGTGAAACAGCATGCATGCACAGATATAGCATTGTTAAAGCCTTTGCAGCATTTTCTGCATATTTCTCCTCCCTTCTCATAGCTGCATCACTTCTCATCACTCCACACTTCTCATAATTGCATCACTTCTCATCACTGCACACTTCTCATAATTGCATCACTTCTCATCACTGCACACTTCTCATAATTGCATCACTTCTCATCACTGCACACTTCTCATAATTGCATCACTTCTCATCACTGCACACTTCTCATGGTTGCAGCGCTTCTCATCACTCCACACTTCTCATAATTGCAGCGCTTCTCATCACTCCACACTTCTCATGGTTGCAGCGCTTCTCATCACTCCACACTTCTCATGGTTGCAGCGCTTCTCATCACTCCACACTTCTCATGGTTGCAGCGCTTCTCATCACTCCACACTTCTCATGGTTGCATCACTTCTCATCACTGCAGGATTTGGTTTTCAGTTCTGGTGGAAGCGTCGGCCATCGAGCCCAGCAAGCCGCTCAAGAAGTTCTTGAAGTCTTGGCGCACTTGACCGCTCCTCTCGCCCAGCTCAGTGTCCAGCTGTGATATCCTGCTGAACGGCCCACCTGAGGCAAGAAGTCTGTCAAATCCAAATCCCTCCAGCGCAAAGTATCTCTTGGAGCCGAATTTCTCTTTATTGACAAATTTCTTATCATTACAAATCTTACTATCGCCATGCATCTCTTAGTTCCAAACCTCTCTTTAACGATAAATATTTCTTAATTCAGAAGTCTCTTCTAGATCCAAAAAAGTCCAGATGGTCAGTTAATTCAATTATTCCTACTTTTACCAAGTTCCAATTTTATTTACTGAGTGCACTCTAGCAGACGCCAGATTCTAAATCAAATGGATATAGCAATAATAATTTTGGGTAGAGTTCCTAAGACCGCGATTTTATAGTGATAGGGTAAATGATTTTGAACATGAAAATAACAGAACGCCGATTTGCAGTAGTCGATTTCAAAAATTAATTCAACGGTATGGTTTTAAAAATATTATATACGGATAATATCTTATATTGAAAATAGTTTCTTACTTGTTTAACATGCAGAAATTTCAGAAAAAAACTCCTTATCTACTGAATTCGATGATAAGTAAACACGAACTCCTCCTTCGTCTATTCCTTTCTCAAAAGGTAGATGAAATATCTCACTTTGATCTGAAGATTGGAAGCAAACTTTAAGAAAATTCTCAAGCCGCGCAGGTGTAATTTTTTTACTTGGTTCTAAAGCTTGAAGAACAACTTGATGCTTTTTAACTCAATATATTTGGGATGGCGATGAGAAGCGTAGACGCGAGGAATTTACGCAAGTCATCCGTCGGAACGTGTGCATGCTGAGATAATATTATGGCTGTAAGCTTGAATTTAGATTCTTATGTTTTGTTGATAGAAGAAATCCTGATCACTTTAATCCATAACATTTTACCGATTATGAAAATTTTCAAGTATAGAAAATAGACATAAATCCTAATTGGAAATATATGACTACTTGCGTTATGGGCCACCGACATTCAAGTTACTTTTGGTTGAGAGAGTAACATCTTAATTGTCTGCAGCTTATTAGCGCTAATGCCTTAATTATCAATAGAATTGAAAAATTATATCTTATGCTGGCGATAGCGTGTGATTGTACACTGAATGAATTTTCAGTTGAATAACCTTCGAAAGGAGGTTATTCATAAAGGTTAACCTATGCAAAAATTAAAATTGCCTTTTTCAAAATGTTCTCGTTTTTAGTTGTGAATTCTAATTTGTTCTTGGATAAATCAATAATTTGAAATTGAAAATGGGAATTTTCGTGTGCACGAGAAATGAGTATATTTGTCAATAAATGCAGATGAAGATTTGCAATTAACTTCTTTTTTAAATCTTTAGCGATGATCCTTCTCCTTCTAGTTGTTGAACAAATCAGTATGCAATAGTTATCATTTGCAATAGATTATTACTAGAAAATCTTGGCATTAAAATTTTTTATTTTATCGCCAGATAGCGTCTGCGAGTCATAGCTAATCAGCCGATGTCTTGAAGAATGCAAAATGTAAATGATGTAGCTAGATAGTTCTGTCGAGAAGACATGTTTAGCTACAACATAAGTTTTATTCGAGATATCATCCGATTATTTACGATCGATAAACGGCTTGAAGAACCCAAGCAAGTTTGAGCGGTATAAACAAACCGAATTCATCTGAATAATGCTTGAGCGAGGTCTAAAATATGGACGACTAAGATAAATAATTCGCTGCCCAGACTATATACGACTAAGATTAGTTGTTCGTTTGTGTGAATACATAAATATAAATCTGCTGCAGATGGAATGCTCAAGTTATCTCCAGCTGAGCAACATGAATTGTTCGAGACTTGCTACTGCATTTTAAATTCCAACAACTTGAAGCTTCTTTGCACTTGTCTCGTATGTCCCATTAACAATATCATGGACTAACACTAAATAATCAATGTGCAAATTAATATACGAACTTGATGAGCAATTCGCACCGTGCGAATATTACCGTTGTAGCTACTATATTGATAATATTGTTTACGTGTATTCAACAAGCTTGATATGCATAAGCTATATAGATTTCTGTCTCAGTCATCGGATTATTACACTGTGGCGCAATTTTGTTCTGGGTCTTTTATTCATGTACTTGTAGAAATTTTAGCTTGCAAATTTTATTTTCTGATTGTTTTTTAATGCCTATATTAATTCATCTTACCTCCTCGTCATCTAACTTAAATTTAAGATTTAGTCCAGATATAACTGCTACAACAACCATGAAGAGACCTACCAAGAGCGGCACCAGTTGCTTCTGTGTTCGGTTTCTGATGACAGAAAACGACGCACTGAGAGTCCTTCAGTCCGTTTTGCAGGGCGAACTGTCGGTGCAGAAACTCCAGGTGCTGCTGCTGCTGCTCCACCGAGTCAGGATTGCACACAAAAATTACGCCGTTGGCTGACCTCTGCATCACCGGCCATGAGCTTTCGTATCTAAGGAGATACGTTTTTGAGGATGAAAATTGCTAATCCAGATTTATTATGCGATGTAAAAAAAACAAGATATTCCACTCTTTTCATAATAGTCATATCTTTCATTATATGTAAACATTAAGGTAAATACTATGTTTTCGCCAGAAAGTGACATGTCATACATGATACATGCTACCTGCAGGTCATCACTTATAATACTTAACGCTTTATAGCTACAAACTTCCAGTGACAAAGAAATGTATGATGCATAGCATCGGTCACATGTTCTGAAAAATGAAATTAGATATATTCCAAGATGAATCTTGGAACAATTTTATGCCCCTACGTAGTGTTTCTTTCGTGTTGGTGAAATTATATTGTTATAGGTAATAAGTTAAAAATGATTGAGACTACCCGCTTAATAATATCACGCCAATATTTTCTTTGTTAAAAAATTACTTTTAATGGGGCTAACTAACTTAGAAAAAATCACTGTTCTTCCTGAATACAAAAGATTCCCTTCTTTAATTTTGCTCGAGAACATTCCTCGAATCTTTTCCAGGTCAAGCGCAACATTTTTACTTTATGTTTAGCTTTTAATCGTATTGAGGGTGAGCAAATGATTAAGGTGTCATTCATGCTAATCCTTAATAAACCTTTACCAAAGGTGGACATAATTCTTCCACTAAATTCCACTTAGAATAATTGGTTAATATTAATAGGCGGCGCACATACTAGTATATTTAGTATAATTAAACTGCGATTTACAGTAAATGAAAAAATTCATAGCCGTACATTTTGTCGTTGCATTTTTTCACATTAAATTTGAAAAAAAAACTATTTGAATCATTTACGTTTTGGGTATCCTTAGTATCCTTAGTATTTGTTTGGGACATAGCAGTCCCAGGCCACGATGGATCGCCGCCTCTGATTATCGTTCATCCGCCCTCATTTGGGCCACCTGATGCACGATGCTGTTGCTTGCTTCTCGCCGCTGGTAGTGTTGCAGGGGAGGTCGATCTGGGATTGTGCTCAGGAACAAAGTTCTTGAATGACTCCAATTTCGTTCTCCTGCCTTGAGTATCGGGGTTCGCTGAATACTTTTTCAAATTGAGTACAAATTTGGTAAAAATATATCTGTAAAGAATTTTACGGAACATACTTCTCTCGTGTACATAAGGTTGGGACCTTTTAGGTAGGACCAGACCCAGAGTTGAGCTCAGGCATAATTCAGTTTTAACCAAACTTGCCCTAGATTGTTCAGCAATTTGGTTCGCGAGCATTTACTTATGTTATGACCATTTTATTGCTTGTTAACCTCGATTATTTTCTCTATATTGCTTATAATTTCGAATAACCTCAACTATGTGTTCAAATTGTTCATTCCTTGTTTTCAGAAACTGTTACAATCTACAAAGAGTTTTCATTCTGTACAATCCCCCGAACAAAGAGCCATAATATTTGCAATATCAGTATTTATTTTATGGCTCCTGAATCTAGAGGCATAAAACATACAATATCTCTTGTTTAGAGTTGAATAATCGGGTAAAATTTATAAATTTTGCGACACATAAAACGATGCAGATTTAAATTAAAAATTACTAGAGCAAGCATACGGGCAGCTATACGGTGCTGCTCGACCTATACTCGCTCGAGCAGCATATGCAGTTTGACGGCCATAGTTTGCCCACCCCTAAACTACACAGAAGTTGAATAAATTCATTCCGTGTTCAAAATTTCATTAGAAATCTAAATTTGAACATCGTAATAATCATAGTAATAACTACCTAAAACTTGTTTCTGCACGATCGCATTCTGAATTCACGCAGAGTATTCTGCTCTTACAAATTAACAAAAATTATATCAGACATATTTTTTTTTTCTTTGATAATAATGTGAGAGATTGTCTCACTTTCACGAGGTGCATCACAGCTATCGCCCATCACAGGCATAACTTAATCCTCTACTCCGACCAACTCATGGAGGCACATTCACTTGCCCTTTGAATCTGCGTGCTTTCTGTGCAAAAAAACGAGCTTCTCTATTATAGACGAGAATAACCTCACCTTTTGTCACCGCTCACGTCCCATAACTCAACTTCTGCGTTGGCCACATTGTTGCCACTGCCAATCTGGAAATTGACAGTGCATTATTATTAGGAATAATTCCTAACCGGATTATTATCCGGCTAGGACTTCTTCAGAACTTGACTGGTAATTGAATTTTAATAGAATTTACGGCATTTCATCAAGAAAATATGCTTGTCAATATTTCATGAATAAAGTCAATACAAATCGATAGAATACGATGGAACAATTTACTGCTGTCGGAGTATTTTCAACCCATATAAAACTTGTACAAACAACTTGATAATATATGTATAAGAACGCTGATAATAACGTAGGTACAATATGTGAAATAGCTTAATATTAATTATAATTCTATTTTATATTCATCCTAATCCTATTGTCTTCAAATTCTATTTGTACTCCAGAACTCAGTAATAACAATTAATCCCGAAATAGTAATTAAATTATAAGTTGAAAGCGATAGTTCACTATAAGTGAAAATAAATATTTATTCTTACCGGCACGCCGGGAACCTCAAACTCGACGATCCTACAGCCTCGTGTAGGTCTGTAGCTGGTGCCCACCTCGCCTGCCTCGCTCAGGAAGTTGCTCAGCGTCGTCTTTCCGCTCTGCTGGACCAAGTTATAATGAGACTTCAATAAATAACTCCCACTTTCATGTATAATTTGCTTATGGCTTTAACTTTTGAGGTAATTGAATAAATTTAATAATAAGTCACTTGCCGGCGACTGCTTCGAGTACTGTTGATTTGAAAATTATTTCAGAAAAGAATTAACCGCGTGATCTGGAGACTTGGCTGAACAACAGACGGTTCCTCAACTAGCCGTTAATATTGGTGTGAATTGAGAACAGTATTCTTGATAGAAACGTCAACCTAATAAGATCGGAAAATGGAATTTGCGGTTATTTTTTACTTGCGGATCGGGAAAAGTAAAGATTAGCCAGTAACAGAGCATTTGACATGCACTAGTTAGTGTCTGAGCCCACTAATACATTATGCATAATAATATTGTTTGTTCGCACTAAAATGGAAACGGATTGTTACGAACGCTTTCTCGATGTTCGTAAAGTGAATTGTTACGAACAGCAAGCAAACGAGTATCTATCTACACGCTCTGAAGCAGTGTCTATTAAGGCTCTGAATGCATGACCCCCGAATACTTTTTACGTACTAACAAAAGTATACTCTGATTACGCTTGAATGTGCGTATAAAAAAAATAAAAATCAACTTTAACACATTACCTGAGCTGGCCCAACCATCAAAATCTTCACTTTGAAATGCATCACGTTGACTTGATACAACTATAATTTAAATTATCTCACTTCATGTAAAATTTCAGTTGTTATATCTTGTATTACATATTTTTGCTTCATGTAAAATACTAGTTGTTGAAAGCAAAGTTTCAACGGAAAATATTTTCACACCACAATATTTGGCTGTATGATCACCAGACTGATTGCATAAATGTATTCGCGTCATAAGACTGTCTTATAAAATCATGAAATTTACACCACTTTGTTTAATATCGCTACTGAGTAATTATTACGAGCCTATCGACATATTAGATGACTGAACAATTCACCCGTTATGCGTTAGGCAGTGAGAAGAACTGAGCGAGAGTGTTGACGTGTGGAAGGCAATCGTCGTCATGACGACCGTATTATGCAGAAATTACTAACATTTCATACTGCTTGCTTTTCTAGATCTTGTTAAGAATAATCACTCCATTATGACGTTGTGAATATGGAATCATATTGGAATAAACAGAAGAGCAGGATGAAAAAAATGTTTGACTGCAAAAGAAGTTTTTTAAATTCCCATTTTCAAGAATTCATGTGGGGAGATTGCTTCTCAAAAAAAAAAATTCTTTATGAAGCTGCATGTGATCATATTGTGGCTCAGTACTTCATCATTTGTTGGTAAGGTAATTTTCATATTGAATTGTCATTATTGAAAAAGTGTTTAAATAGGCCTTATCTGTTGGTATTATTCATTCAATTGACTTAGTTAAGAATGCGCACATCAGTATTGTTCTTGTTAAGATCAGCTTCTTTAATCCAAAGGGCATAATTCAACTTCCAGAAGCTACCTACCTAAAAACACCTGTCGCATTGTATTTTAAAACGAATTACCTGAAAAAAGATCACATTCGAAAAAATTAATCATGTTACACTATGAAGAACTTGATGGTAAATGAATGCATACATGTGCGTTCAGGATCGCAATTCCGCCCAAGAGAAGAAATAGCAATCGAGTGCTGGGACATGCTAACAGTTTGCGTGGTTGAGGTCAGCGTCCTGGATGAAATCTCTGTGCCTGGTGGAGGCTGTTCCTTGATCCAGATTAGGCAGGTTTGCAGTACTGCAGCCATTCGGCCGCTGGTTGCTAGGCGCTAAACCTGCCAGCGACGTACAAAACAGCCAAGTTCTGAAGCTCGAATCGTCCTGTTCTTTCAATAGTCGTTATTTTTAAGCTCCTTCGTGTTGGTAACTCTTCTTTCTTTCAAATGACAACTCTGAACGTGAATTTCAACAATTTAGTATAACATTTGATGCACCATACAGTTCTCGATCGTGGCTTTTCTAATAATGATTTTTTTACAAATAGCTTCCGCTAGCTGAAGTATCAACACTTCAAATATTGATAGCATTCATGAGGTCTAAAAATACTCATTATCTGGTAATTTTTATCATTATAACATTGCGTATACGGGCCGATCAAATGAAAGGTTCTCTATTCCACAGCCGTTCACACATCCTAGCCTCTCAATAGCGATATTTGTTTAGAATGAACAATAACGATATTTGTTTAGCGGTGGTAAACACATTTTTTTCGGACTACCAGAAAATTAACATGTTCAGTCATTTCATAAGAGTTGCTTTAGTTGCTACATTTGTTTCTCTTAGTTGCTGTACAACATTCCCCAGGGAAAGCAGTCGAACAGAATAAAATTATTATGCAAAGAAATGCTTTTTGTCGCTGAGCTTTGGGGCTGATAACCTTACGATGACTTGCTTAACGGTGATCGCCCACTTCTTAAAAGCGGACGGCAGCAGAACAAAGCCTTTGGGCCGTCGACCGTCGTAGCCACTGCCAGTTGCCAAAGTGCTGTTATAAGGGTAGGTACTGGCCAACGGTGCTCGCGGCAACTCAGGTAGCGTTCATTAATCTTCATCAGTATTTTCATCGTGCTTTATTAATAAGGTTTGGTGCTCATTTAATTCTCTTGTTCACCTGCTCTTAGAAATTTTTCCTTTTTCATAACTGATTTATCATTCATAATACCCATTATAAATTAGTTCTACTTCCTGTATGTTGCTTAACGATTTAGTTCTCAGTCTCACCGCCTGTTATTCTCCTGGCTGCTGTTTGTAAGTGCTATATTTGATACTGGCTTCACCATATTAACAGTTCCATGTGATACCTGATATTAAATACTATTAATGTTGTGCAGGTCTTGTGAAAAAGGGAACTTTCATTCATAAAGGAACGAGAACTTCAGTCGAGATGAAGGTGATCGCAGCGTTATCACTTCTGATGCTGGTGCCTCTTGTATACGGCCAGCAGGAACAAGTGCCTACCTCTGCCGTAAGCCTTGCTGATTTTACGTTAATTTTCACTTTGGTTTGTACGCATGGAAATTTTTGGCCCTGATTTCTAGTCTTAATTGTTTTAGATTTTTAACTGTTGTTTGAATGTATATTTTTGCATCCAATGACCATAAGACGTCGTCTTTGAAGCCTTGAAAGACCGCGATATGGTTGTCGAAATTGTCTAAATGATTTCATGTTGGAATGAATCATTCTCTGATGTATAATTCTCATGCCATCAATCATCATAGGTTAATGGAAAACTTGTAACTACATTCTTTTCTTTTTTTTTGAATTAGATATACACAGGGTTTTTAACTCCTTATATGTTAGTTATTTTTTAGAAGGTCACGATTTATGCACATCACTGTTAACGTATTAAGATATTCTTAATGTTTTATTCGTTTCATAGATGCTAGCATTTACAGCTAATACTCGCGTTGAAGAATACTAAATATTAGAAAGAAATACTAGTCTATTATTCTTCTAGAATCTAGAACTAGATACTAGAAGCTCTCTGAATTGAACTAATCGGTTTTCTAAACTTAATGAAGAGACAATAATTCAGATACCTAAGCAACAGAAAATCCGAAAGACAATATTTCGGATACCTTAGATACAAATTTCGCATCTTCGCCAATGAAAATGACGTTGCATTATTCACGCTTCAATATTATTTTAATTTTCAAAATTCTTGCTAACCACCATTATGTTAATGAAGGTGGAGATGGACATCAGCATCGGAGGAGTATCACAAGGCACCATCAAGATTGGACTCTTCGACCAAGTCGTCCCTAGGACGGCCGAGAACTTCCGCGCGCTCTGCACTGGCGAGAAAGGCTTCGGCTACGCAGGCTCCCTCTTCCACAGGATCATTCCGAACTTCATGCTGCAAGGGGGCGACTTCACCAGAGGGGATGGAACTGGTGGTGGGTTTTTTTAATACGAATGAATTTATTACTGACTGGCTGTACGGTAAATGAGATACTAGGTAGAAGAACATATATTCTACAATCCATAATATTTTCATGATTGAATATTGTTCAGTAATTTTATTTTCGTCTTTTCGTATCGGAACAAACAAAAAATGAATTTGGCAGGAAATCTAACTTGAAATAATAAGAGTAATCAGTGCAATTTTAGTCCTACTTTTTAATACTAATAATATATTCCACACCATTCTTATGCTAAACAACGTATCACTAATCTAGTAAACAACTTTGCTAGTTGATGATTGTATGGTAATTCGTAGAACCTAATAAGCAATCGTATAGGAGATAGAAATTGTGACTAAAACAATGAACGGTCAATGAAATCGTTTTTTGAACCTTGCCTATAAAAAAATCGGCAACTGTTTTTCTATTGATTTTCAGATCGGTACTGTTGAAGAACTGACTGAACGACCCGAATTACATAATTTTTTTTAATTTAGGCCGCTCTTGTTCTAGTTTTTATTTATTTATTATTATAAAAATGTTTTTTTATTTTGAGGTTGAGTTGCTGATTGATATTCTGATCGCAGGTAGAAGCATTTACGGCGAGAAGTTCGCGGACGAGAACTTCATCCTGCGACACGTGGGCCCTGGTTGGCTGTCCATGGCTAACTCGGGACCTGACACCAACGGATCACAGTTCTTCATCACCACGGTCACAACGTCTTGGCTTGACGGCAAACACGTCGTCTTCGGCAAAGTTTTGAGCGGAATGGTGAGAAAAGAGCTATTCAAGAGAAAATATCTCCTGGAGACCCTTTTTCTCTGAGCCTCCAAACTATCGGGGCTCTTGGAAACTACAGCTTGATACTCGTTGGCCTGTAGTCCTAAGAATGAATTATTGATTCCATGATAATCAGTTTTTAAGAACGATGCTGTGAACTCTCTCGTAATTGTTCAATTTATTTTATCTGGATCCGAATTACTAAGCATGAATGTGTCAAATCCTTGTAATAATAAGTTTCTGTTTGCCTGCAGAACGTGGTGAAAACCGCTGAAGCAGTCAAAACCAACAACGCTAACAAGCCCCTTCAGGACGTCAAGATTGATGCCTGCCGAGAAGTTCCTATTTAATCTGGCGACTTGTTCTATTTAAATAAAAATGGTTTCGACTGGGATGGCATTATTCTTGTGGATTTTTGATTGGAAACTCGTTGCTTCAGTCAATTTCTGGTACCGAATGACTCCAAGAATTTAGAAGCGATGATGGCGTCAAGGTAATTAAATAAATCTAATTAACCGACCAGCTCCATCATCTGTTCAAGAAACTTTGAAGAATACAACTATCATAACCAGATCATTGTCTTAATAATGCGTTCAGCTCTAATACTCGTGAAATTTTAGATTGATAGGTTTTTAGGTTTGGTTGCCGTTTTCTCGTTACATGTGTGGTAATAATTCTCGTGTGTATTTAGATTTTCACTGACGTGTGCTTCTTTCACATCTGATGAGTTATGGGGGAGCTTGAAGACTTGACTAGGTCAGCTTCTTTCTGGCAAGAGTAATGTGGTATCCAATGTGGCCCTTCTTAAGAAGGCCCATGACCCACAATTTGGGAACCACTAATTTATGATACTGCGGTCAGGTGTGAAAAAAGTGGATAAATTTAAAATTATCAAAGCGTTTGCTAGCGCTGTGGTTGAGACTAGATAGGTGAACATAAAAACTTTTCGCAGGACTCGAAATTCAACCATAACCATTGGGACCACGCAGATCGATCAGCTTTTTTGTGTTTGACTACGTCAAAATAGGAACAGGAAATCACATGAAAGATCGTGCCGAAGGGAATGATTTAATCAATTAATTTTAGTAAACAGATAGATCCTTTTCATTTTAACGACGGCCGTATTACAAACTCGTGATCTGCTTAAACAGCTGAGATGACGAGGCTGAAATTGATTAAACGTCGGCAGGATTAACTGAATGTATTCGGATAATTGGGTATTTGTTCATTTAACTATTACTAATATAAAGCTAGTTAAGGGGAGCGTCTCGCCTAAAATTTATCTCATTAATTTACAGAGGGATCAATCTGAAATTTGGTGCACATGTGTGAACCCTAAAATAAAACAGGTTTTATTCGTGTCAATTTTTCGAAAAATTGAAAGAAAACGTGAAATTATTAGAAAACAACCAAAAAGGGGTACTTTAGGAAACCTATCTCCTCCTAGGATTTTCAAGCTACAACATCGAGACACATATCATTCGATGCGTAAGGACCACATCTACAAAATTGTGTATAGGTTTTTTGGATTTCTCATTTTTGTGGGTGTGGGAGCATTTTTTTGTAAAATTTTCGGAAATTTTTCGATTTTACCCCCGCCTCCCCCCTTTTTGCAGAATAAAATCTAAACTATAACGAAATTAGAAAAACGCATACACACTTTTGTAGATCTTTTTTTTCCAAATCGAATGGTGTTTGTCTCATTGATGTAGCTTCAAAACTCTAGGAGGAGATAGGTTTGCAGTGACAATAAGTTAACTTTTCAGTAGGGCCCGACAAAGTCGCGCGCGCCTCGAAAAAGTCATTCAAGGTTGCAAGACTACAAGATATTGGAGCTCAATTTCTGTCAAGGATGGTGCGAACGACGGCACGAGAGCCATCCCATATGACTGCAGGCGGATAACTGAAGCACAGCGTGTTCAGACTAGCTATTTAAGTGTGCTACCGGTAATTTAGGCCTATCTTAAATGTTAAGGAACTCCACCGCCCCTAATCATTTCGCGATCTGTCGTGGTCGCATAAATCAACGTACAGAGATGGTTTTGGTACCGTTAGATGCGGCAGAATGTAAGCTTTAAAATGAGTATAAAAACCGAAAAAGTCAAAATTTTCGATTTTGACCGAGACGCTCCCCTTAACTAACTCTAATCACGAGTTTCGGTGTTGAATATTGTTGAATTGGCCTAGCTATTCATCGTGTCCTTTCTCATATTCAAGGAAATTGTAATGTCTGGTGAGAAATAACTCGCCAAAGAATGCGCACAGAAAATAATTCCGATTGGCAAACTCATTTAAACTCCGCCCTAGTGTTTTTTAATACCGATACTCTATCGAGAAGTGCGACAGGGTGAGTACCAAGCCATAAGTGTAGGAGCCAAGATGGCAATAAAATGTTTTTATTTACCAACCCTGATTTTACAACACCTCGTTCTGCACCAACTTTCTGAACAGCTAAAAGTGATGTTTCTTTTGTTCTGCGGACAAAAAACCGTTTGCATCGGCAATAATTTCTAAAACTATTTACATGTAGGTCAAACTCTATCTCTAGAATAGCCAAGCGTTGCGAGAAATAATATTTCATTACTAGTCTCATAATAAGCGATTTTTATTATTTGTTAGCAGCTTAAATTAGCTTTGTTCAGGGATAGATGGTCTCTAAGATGTAGGAAGGGCGATATCGTAAGAGGAACACAACAGCGCGAGCATCGTCCACGAACACGAGAGAGAAACACAACGGACTCCTGATGAATAATTTTCATTTTCAATCCACGTTTATGTGATCAATATTGGCGCTAAAAAAATTGAACACAATATGATCATGTAATCTGAAGTGAAATGAAAATATCGCAGCAATACTTTGTACATCCACAAAATAAATCGAAAAATATATCCAATATAAACCGACATAATTTCAATTTCGTGAACTAGGCCGGCGCCCTCGCGTTGACGTGATGCCTCAGGCATCATCGTTCAACAATCCGTAAAAGTTTAAATGCGTTAGCGACTCCAGTGCCATTCTTGGTGTAGATATTTTGCCTTTATGAAACTTAATAAATATGTGAATAGCATTGCGTAGCGCAGCGTGAGTCGGCGCAGATTGATGAATAGGCAGATCAGTGCCTGCGTAGCCGAATCTCTTCGTCTTCCACTTGACTCGCAAACCTTCCAAAAATATGGCTCCAGGCCACGTCGTCTATGTCTAAAACTGTGCGTGTCATATCTACGCATATTATATTAACTGTCCAGTCGTCGCCTTCTGGTGGGAGGCTCCTCCATTCTGTACATATAACAACGCAAGCCCAAGTCAAGCCTCATCTTAAAAGAGTTCATGGATGGTGCCTCGACAAATAATCTCCGCTGGCAGGCCGTCTCAACGATCGATCACGCATTGCGCGAAGTGCTGCCTCTCATTATTATTACACCTTGGTTTCCTGATTTTAAATTAATGGCCGGTATAGTAGTCCTCTCAGTGTAATGAATTCTCATGAATAAATTAATCTAATGTAAACGTCAAAAAATAGCAGCTAAATAGCTAATCAAGCGTCACTTATAGAAAGATCGGGTTCCAAAGACCAGATCCCTTGTGAATCAAGTCACGAAAAATTCAAGAATCGGCAACAGGCCATGGGCCTATTTCTTCGGTGACGACACTTCTATTCTATTCTATTCTATTCTAATAGCCTGAGACAGATAAAAATACAAAGGATATTGAATTTTAGTTTGAACTGACAATTATTGATGAATGGTATTTTAGGAGTATTTAGGAAGAATATTTATTGAATTTAAAATAAATACAGCAATGTAGCGTGAATACTATACTGCAATCATTATCGTATGCGTGTGTTTTTACCAAATGAAATCAGTAATATTAGTTTTTAAATAAGTTACTTGATTCAACACAACAGGACAGTGAAAAAGAAACTAAAAAAAGTTGCAGGTGAGTGTTTAGATCGATCTATAGCTGGAGCTGGGGTTGGATGTTGCTGGAAATGCTAAGCTAAGGCTGGAAAGTTGGAACAAATTGTGAACTGCTACTTTTGGTAGATATGCGAACGGCCACGTTAGGCATTCGAAATCTCGTTTGGTGTTCTAGTTCCACGATAATATTGGGCTCAAGGGATTAGCTCTCAAATGCACGAGTACCACAAACATAATATCGCAATAACTTTAGCCTATCAAAGAATAGAATAGAAGTGTCGGTACTGAAGAAATAGGCCCATGGCCAGTTGCCAATTCTTGTACTTTTCGTGACTTGATTCACAAGGGATCCGGCTTGTTGAACCCGATCTTTCCATAACTGACGATTGTTTGAGATAGCTGCTGTACTTAATGACTTAATGCCAGGTCCGTAATTTAGGTGCTAGGCATTTCAAGACTGAACATTTATGCTCCTGCATAGCTTTTGTCTAGTCTGTTCTTGAAGGCGTTCATACTCGGAGCGTCAACGATGCCATCAGGGAGGCTGTTCCACATGTCGGTGACTCGAAGCGAGAAAAAATGTTGTCGCGTGGATGATGTGTTACAACGCAGTTTTTTAGTTTATGGCCGTGGCCCTTGGTGTTGGTTCTCGTTTAAAATTCTTGTAATCCTTCTGGGGATCTTGTATAAAACGTGGGTATACACATGTATGTATACCCACGTCAAAGAGGTCACCACACCGACATCGATAAGATAGGTATAACAAAGGCATGGAAGCTTCTCGTCTTTGAACACTCTCGACTAAATTTTTGTCCTTTTCTAGTTTCGGCGACCACACGGTGTTTCCAAACTCTATGTTCGGAGTTCGGACGCACGACAGCGACAAACAACTACTTCATCGCTTCTCATAGGATCAAATAGAATCAAAATAATTTACTCGAGTACGCACCGTTTAACGAATCAATCATCTAGATATTTGTATAAACGAATTATTGCAATTACAACAATTATTGCAATAATATTGGCCGCCAAACACACCATAAATAAGTTATTGCTCCTAATTGACATTTAATAACTCTACGGCTCAACTAGCTCACACTATTTGAACATTTTTAATTATTGGCGACAGATTTCAATCGTTATTCAGATTGTTCTTAATGCTGATGATATCAAACTGCTCTATTCACGCCTGCACCATTTACGTGTTGCTTTTACGTAAAGAGTCATTTGAAATCGATGGATTAAGATGAAGCGGTGTGGTATAATTTCTTAGAACTAAATCCAAGAATTAGGTAAAGGATGCCCGACAAAATAAAAAATTACAATTAAATATTTATTAAACGATGTCTTTGTAATTCAGATCCTAAAACTCCCGTAAACTCTGGCATAGCTGGTTGGAAGAGAATAATTTTAACAGAATCAAACGACCTATAATAATCCATGAAGGTTCAAAGTTTCGAGGCTGAGAAGGTCCAATGTCAGTCACAAGTTTCCTTTTAATCAAAATTTCCATTTGTAGCCAACTCCGACGCCAACGTTGGGTTTAGTGTGAAAGCTAAGGGAAAAATAAATTATTGAAAATGACTTAATCTGAATTAAACTGAGTAATTTCGTATAATATCTGTTATAGCCGTTAATTCATTGATCTAAAATTTTTACGAATTAAAATCAAAATATTGGGCTCGTATCGTAAGTACGCTCTGTGAGGTATAAATTTCGTAAGGTATAAATTTGTGAGGGCGCATAAGAAAAAATATTGGAGTATTATTTTTCATATGATACAATTACAAATTCTTGGACTCACTTGAAGCCATCAACTCTCCCTCTGGAGTGGTCGACGGTGGCGCCCACGCCCACCGAGTGACGTTGGTTAGGACTGCGCCACACGACGCTGCCCAGGCCAGCTCCTACGTTGACGTGGTGGTTGTTGCGGCTGTTGCCTCCGCCATCAGCGTTGAGGAACCCGTGCAGCTGTCAGAATAGAATTGAAGTGTCGGCACTGAAGAAATATGCCCATGGCCTGTTGCCGATTCTTGAATTTTTCGTGACTTGATTCACAAGGGATCCGGCCTTTGGAACCCGATCTTTCCATAACTGACGATTGATTGAGATAGCTGCTGGCTGGTCCGTAAGTTGCTAGGCATTTTAAGACAGTGCGGGAAACACTGTATTTTTACTAATGACATCTTTATTCGTGCAAATATGTTGAACGAGGATTTTATGCAAATATAGGAATTGGTTGGCTGCATACCCGATTTTAGTGCTGCGTTATTCTATAACGTATTGCTCATATTAAGAAAAACATTTTGCACGTTGAAAGAAACAGGATGCTGAATTGTTCAGTTTGGAGTGAGACACTGTAATCTAGTATTGACAATATTTATTTGATATTCTTATGAAACCGAAATTTTTTATTCGCTGCTATCCTAACATTGTTTAGGATGCAATTGTTGACTAAACTTGAATCGGAAAATAAATTAGTCTTACGGAAATATGGAATGAACAATATTACTAAAATAGCTTTTTTCAAAGAAATGTCGTTTACTGTGATGATTTGACTATCTACAGGGCAGTCGGTGAGCTCTTCTTCAGTGCTAACATGCCTATTCAATTTAACTTTAAATGTAAACAACTGACCTTTCCCACGGGCCTAGGTGCTCCATTCCGATCTTCGTGGTTACCCCCGAGGCTTGACGCTGCCAACTGACGGCGAACTCGCAGGCGTTGCGGGTACGCGACGTGCTCCTCGTCAGGAAAAGTTAGCCCCACGTCGTCATAATAGGCAGCTTCTTCGCGGAAAAAGTCGTCTGCTTCAAGTCGGCTTCTGAGTCCCCTTGGGTACCTCGTCTCAGCTTGGTTCGCAGGGATGACAGCGACCAACAACGAGAGAACGAAAACTATGTTTCTAGTCATGGTTACTGGCACGATCAGTATTGAAATACCGTTATTTGTGATTTTCGAATTTAGTTGCTCTTTCGTATCCTGCAATATAGGTGATCAACAGAGCAGTCGTGTAGCCTCCACCTGAGAGAAATCCTCTTGAACAATGACTTACATTCGTTCAGCCGCCGGATTATATACCGGACCGCGCTAATAATACTTCGTGTTTAGTCTTGACGGTCGGGCAACCAATTGAACGCTAAAGGTCAACTCAGGACGTTTGTGCTTCTCGGAACTCAGGCTTTTCGCACTTCATACTCGTTTTCTAACATCAGACGACGGAAACTTTCTCGTCATTGTAAGCAAGAAAATTAATATATTCGAGAACTGGGCTCATTAGCGCACATTCTTCTGATATTACTTTTATTTTGGTATGAAAAATTAAGAAACAAAATGCCTTAGATTGCAACGAACAAAGAATTTGATTGTAAATACGATAAGATTAGGATTCGTTCATTGATTGTATATTAGAAGAAGGGGCAAGGATGGGCTTGCCACTAATTTTCCATGTGAATTTACATCTTTAAACGGTATTGATATTGGAAACAAATTTAAAGAATCCATAGCCTCGATGTGCTGCGTCAGCATGATTAATGTATCGACATGACTTGTTTTGCGCAGGCTCGTCTGGCCACTTTATTGTGACGTAACCGCACGAACGTTCTCGGCTGTTATTTCTTCTCAGAATGCATGCACAAAAATTCTCTGCCTTCTGTTTTTCCACCTTCCGTGTGTAAAGTTTTTCCGCCTTCAGCATTTGAAATTCTTTCTGCCATCTTAATTTGAAGATCTTTCAGCCTTCTGAATTCTTTCATTCACAGACCGCAGTTATAAGGAGGCATGCGCAAAAGTTTTCAGTCTTCTTTGTAGCACATTTTCTCATTTATGGAAAAAAGGTGCTATTTTGCTCGTCATGTCCGTCCGTCTGTCCGTCCGTCCGTCTGTCTATTTGTGACTTCACGTTGCCGAGTTTCTATGATACTCGGCAGCGAGAAAATGCGCTCTCTGCCACTCACTGCAGTGAGTACTGACTTATACTTTTTTCCAATTTATATTTTTATTGCTTTCTTTCGCAGACATCACTGCGTAGTATAGATGAGCGATAATAATTTTACTGCAAGCGAAAGAGCCCGTAAGTTTTGATCGGTAACTTCTGTGGATGTTAAGTTCATTACCTTAAATTGCATAACCTTAAATAATGCATAGCCTTAATTGTTGATTATGCATTATTGAAAGAGAAAATACCCGGAGAAATGGACAAGAAAAATATAAAACAAGTTGACATGACTATTATGGAACAATAACGGATATCTACTTTGGTCATTATTCCTGGTATTTCACTGTATAAGAGCATAAATTCACTTAAAACAAATTAGGCACAATTAAGTTAGCACAAGTTTTTATACTTCCACCGTTGCAGGAAAATATTTACGAGTTACTTTTACTAAACGGCTCATTAAACTAATCCCCTATCAGTGCGGGTTAATTTTTCGAAACTTCCTCTATTAATTCTGTTGTTCTCTTCTTATTTCAATTTAGTCGCGATTCCAGCAACCAAGATGTACAGACATATGAGAAGTTTAAGTATTTGTTGCGAACACGAGTTTTTTTTTTTCAGGAAACAAGTATCAGACGCTTTCTTCTCCGAGAGTTGCTTTAGTTTTTAAGGGCTTCAGATATTCCACGATTTCAGGCACATCAAGTTTTTCCTGTTGCAATTTTATTTATTCGGTGAAATAGTGATGTGATCTATAGGGATGAGTGCACTTGTGAACCATTACTGCACGCGAGAGTAATGACCGTATTTTTAACGGTAGCGGCATACTAAAAAAATACATTTGTGCGCACTCAGTAACTAAACGTGTACATGAACAGTATTAATTTACTCATATCGAGCAAGTATACTCGAGAACAATAAATTCATTGGAAGGAACTATTGTTGGGAAGCTACAAAGATTCTCTACATTTTATTGTTGGGCCTACAAACATGTTGTTGGAAGGCGAATTAGTTTACCTTATTAAACATAGCACAGATAATTTCATCCCCTACTTTTGCATAGCGAAGTAATTGGTTCCCATTCATACGCAGAGCGAGGTAATTTGATGCCCTCCTTACACATAGCAAAAATAAGTTTTTGTCATTCCTGCAAAGAAATTTGCTGCCTCTCATTGTATAATTTTGTGAGGAAAGTAAGGTTCACAGAGAGTCTCGTTGCGAGCTACCTCAAAAATGGTTTGTAATATTCAAATTTAAGTAATCTTCCATTGAATAAATTCAATTTGATCTCACATTAAATTCAAGTGCAAATCCACATTCAAACTATTTTCAGTAATAATATTTGAAAAAATTGTTTGAATTATATTCAGAACCAAGCACGAATTTAGGATTTAGCGAAAGATTTCTTTCAGACGAGAAAGATTTCTCGTATTCGTGTAATCCTACAAATGTAATCAGAGATAAAGCATCCTGTATCGCATGATAGGAAGCTGGTCAAGTGCTTCTAGAACGTCTGTTCGATAACAGCGCAAAGAACTTCAAGCTACCACAAGATCATATTTGCCACATCAATTGTGAAGGTGTGCTGTTACTGGCCTCAGAAATTAACTAGGGCCATTTGTTTCAAGTGAATATTATAAAATACTTTTGTTTCAATAATAATACAAGAATAAAATACTTAGATGTGGAAGAAAACTAAAGCTTTATTGCACATGTGATTACTGGAATAATATGACATCATATAAAATAAAGAAAAATGCTTTTGCGCTTTTACGTCATTTTATGTCTCATTGTCCTGCTGGCCTTCGAAACAAATGCGAAACAACAGCAGGGTAAAAACTCTCTTTGGAAAAACACGCCCAGGAGTTTTACGATCGACTATGAAAACGACGTTTTCTTAAAAGATGGCTTTCCTTTTCGTTACGTCTCCGGATCCATTCACTACTTCCGTGTTCACCCCAGCGACTGGGCTGATCGGCTCAGGAAAATGAAATATGCTGGTCTGAACGTCGTGCAAGTGTGAGAGAAATATTTTATTTCATAAGACATTTATCTATAATTTTTTCTAAAATCCCATGAAAATATGCGAGTGCAATCAAGTAATTTATTACTCGAGACTAGTTTCCAACTACTTCCCTGAAGTTGTTTGTATTCCGCCGCCCTATCGTTAAAAGGTTTAGAAAAATTTATATCCATCAAGTAGATTAATCATATAATAATATACGTTTAAAAATTACTTTTTAAAGACAACACTTCCAAAGAATCCAGTATCTCCAATCTTACAGATATACAATGAATTTCTCATCTAATTTTCGAAAATTAAAAAAAATTATTTTTCAATTTTTTTAATATATATAAATTTTTTTAATATATATATAAATTTTTTCAAAATTATTTATTCTGTTAATTGATTCATGCATTGCCTCTGACTTCACACAAGTGTGCAAAATTTCAGATCAATTAGACAGGTAAAAGTGTGTCAAATATCAGTTATAAGATTTGTAGCTGACAAAATTATTTTTTCAATTTTTTTAATATTGAAAAGAAAAAAAATTAAATTTAAAAAATCATTTATTTTGACATTTGATTCATGCATTGTCTCCAACTTTAAACAAGTGTGCAAAATTTCAGATCGATAGGATAAGTAGAAGTGTATTAAATTTCGATTACAAGATTTGTAGCAGACAGACAGACAGACAAACAAGAAGTGAAGTTAAAGAGAAGTGTTGTAAAAACAGTAAATTATTCGATATCACCTTTCTGTTACAGCCTTGTAGTATTAGACAAAAAATGTACTCAAAGCTTCAATGATTTATGAAGTTTTTAATAAATAAATTATAAATCTGGATCATCTTTAAAATAGCAGCTGCTTCGCAAGGGAACAACGCATGCGCCTTGAGATTGGACAAGATAGTGGGAAAAGTAAAAAAAAATCGTCAAATTAAGGACAGTGTAGGACCTCTTCATTGATATACCTAACATTTCTGATAAAGAAGACGGTAAAAATCAGTCTGGATCAAAAGCTTCTTTTGGCTGTTGACACAAGTATATGCCCGCCGAAAAAAAACACGAATAAGATAACTACTGTCATCAGTGCCAACTTTGTATCGCAGGTACGTGGAATGGGCGAGCCACGAGCCCGAGCCTGGTCAGTTCGACTTCACCGGAGCGTTGGACCTGCCCGAGTTTTTGGCCGAGGCCCAGAGACAGGATCTGCTCGTGAACCTCCGTGCTGGGCCATACATGTGTGCTGAGAGAGACATGGTTCGTAAATATCTCTTATGGAGCGATGCATTATACGTAGGTACACTTCATGTTCAGAACTAAGGAAAAATTATTGTTACATTCCCTGTATTCCCTGTACAGAGCTGAGGGATAAACTATTCTTATACTTCCTATTCAGAGAAATGATTTGGCTCACTTCGTGTTCAGGGTCGGGGAGGAATTACTGGTAAACTTCAAGTTCAGGACTGTGGCAGAAATTATTGGTACACTTCCTGTTCAGGTCAAAGGGAAACATTATTGGTACACTTGCTATTCAGGGCTGAATGAGAAAATTATAGGTACACTTCTAGAGGAGAGACATGGTTAGCATACCTCGTGTACGGATCCTAGATAAAAATGGTGTAGGTACAATGCTACATCGCGACGGCAACATCGGCAGTTTTAAAACTGTGTTTTGTCTTAAATATGAGACAACCAACTGACCGTCTTCATTTATATAGCAAGATTAAAGCGTTCGTGATCAAAGAAATTGTTGTCTGCTTGGGCAGGGGGGCCTGCCGTACTGGTTGATGCGCCTACACCCCAATGTGCGTCTGCGCACCTCGGATCCGAGTAAGTCCTAGACTTGTGACAGCGGTTATACTAACACGAAAATTGCGTTAATACGTCGATTTATGAAAGTCATGAGCAAGAACAAGCGATATTAATCATTTGCAGAAATATGTACAACGTTCAACAGCCATATATGAGATGAACAGAAATTGCTTATCTATGTTACGTTTGTCGCTTTTGACTGATTTCAAGGTTAATTTGACTTTAAATGAGTCACAGAACGTTGGCGAGTGTTGTCGACAACTAAACGCAATCCGTTTTTATATAACCAATAAACTTAATCATGTGAGTCAAAGTATCTGACTAAGTTTGTCATGAGTGAAATATGAGCGCAGATTGCCGTTTTACCGTCTGCGAGAAGCCATCTTGTTCCCCGTCCTGGTGGGAGGCGCAACGACAACACAAGAATTTCTAATTTCAGTTCTTATTGAACTCATCAATATAAAGACCAATGAGCAATTTATTTCGAGGTGATATTATAATATTCGAAAAACTCTTTATCATTTGTTACCGGTTGTATTTAAGGTTCTGAGGTAAATAGCAGCTAAATGTCTGCTTGAATTCTTAAGCGCTTCTGATCACTACAGTTGTTAATCAGGGCTCATACTTTCAAAACTCGCTAAGTGAACGTAAGTATTTACGCTCTATTTTCTTATTTATGATTGGTGGATTTTGCTTGAAAGGCCGTCAATGATTGGCTGATGAACTTACGATCTCTTAACTGTTTTTAAAAGAGTGGCTTGAAAGGCCGTCAATGATTGGCTGATGAACTTACGATATCTTAAGCTTTTTTTGAAATTATAGGCCCAGGCTTCCTGTGAGTGACGTTTAAATATAAACCGTTATATTTTGTATAAACTTTGCTAGGTAAATTGCTTAAATATCAACGCGCCTTGTATATTAGATTGATGACCGCTGATGACTTTCATTACTCTATCCTCCAGACTACATGACCAGGGTGATGTCATGGCTGCTGCTGGGCCTCTTCCCGCGTATCAAGCCTCTTCTGTACCACAACGGGGGACCTGTCATCATGGTCCAGGTTGTTCACATTTTTTCACTATCGTCTCATTTGTACATATTTTATCCAGGTTAGTACATGAAAAATAGAGTTACGTTAGACGTTAAAAATGTATTACCACGTAGCAACACAAAGAATTTCAGTCTGTAATTTTTTCAACACATTGTTTAGATATTAATTAAGAGTTTTTGGAACTCGGTATCAAATATATATCATTTCCAAAATTCAAGAAGCCTCTAATACAGGTCGAGAACGAGTACGGCAATTACTACGCGTGCGATTACTCTTATACCTGCGAACTACGAAGAATTTTCCGAGCTGGACTTGGTCCCGAAATTTTGCTTTTCACCACCGACAACGGGACGCCCTCTTCCCTGCGGTGTGGCAAGAGTCCACTTGTGTACGCCACCGTAGACTTTGGTGTTGGTAAGTGGACATAACAGCATCGATTTGCGGCAGATTTGGCTGAATTTAAATTGGCTTCGGTTAACAAATTTAGTTGAATTAAAAACGAGGATCGCATGTTGTTACAAGCGAGATTACGTTCTGCAACTAATGTTTAATTCATCAGCTAAACTAATTTCATGAACACAAATGAGGCTTCAATTTAAAACAGAGACCAAAAACGGCTTTGTTAGCAGTACTATTCATTGTGTAAATTTTGAAAGACGTTAATGCAATTGGAAATTTGCTTGATTGGACATAAGCCGTATCTAGTTTGCAATATAAAGAACACTCTTGAGTTCATTATAAGAGAAATAAATATAAACTCCCATTAAATTTTGATTTAATTTTACGTCAGCACTGATGAAGCAAGCACTTTCATCTCGCCAAATCTCACAATCAAACGAACTAATTAAAAATTTGTTTACTAGTTGCAGCTTACAGTGAGAGTTACAAAATTCACTGTCACTTCAATTATTCATGACTATCCATGTTCCTTTTTGCAAAGCATTATTTCATACGCTCATTACTTCACAAGTTTCTCAAATTTAACCATTTTTTTTCAGCCGCAAACGCAGTTTCGGAGTTCGGGTCGCAGCGACTGTTCGAGCCCGAAGGTCCGCTCGTCAACTCTGAGTTCTACAGCGGCTGGCTTGACCATTGGGGGCGCCCAAGGCAACGCGTCAACACTTCCGTACGTGCCTTGTTGATGTCGTGTTGATGTCGTGTTAATGTCGTGTTGATGTCGTGTTGATGTCGTGTTGAAGTCGTGTTGATGTCGTGTTGATGTCGTTTTGATGTCGTGTTGATGTCGTGTTGATGTCGTGTTGATGTCGTGTTGATGTTGTGTTGATGTCGTGTTGATGTTGTGTTGATGTGTTTATGTTGTGTTGATGTTGTGTTGATGTCGCGTTGATGTTGTGTTGATGTCGTGTTGATGTTGCGTTGATGTCGTGTTGATGTCGTGTTGATGTTGTGTTGATGTCGTGTTGATGTCGTGTTGATGTCGTGTTGATGTTGTGTTGATGTCTTGTTGATGTTGTGTTGACGTTGTGTTGATGTGTTTATGTTGTGTTGATGTTGTGTTGATGTCGCGTTGATGTCGTGTTGATTCCGTGTTGATGTCGTGTTAATGTCGTGTTGATGTCGTGTTGATGTTGCGTTGATGTTGCGTTGATTTTGTGTTGATGTTGTGTTGATCTCGTGTTGATGTTGTGTTGATGTCGTGTTGATGTTGTGTTGACGTTGTGTTGATGTGTTTATGTTGTGTTGATGTTGTGTTGATGTCGCGTTGATGTCGTGTTGATGTCGTGTTGATGTCGTGTTGATGTTGTGTTGATGTTGTGTTGATGTCGTGTTGATTCCGTGTTGATGTCGTGTTGATGTTGTGTTGATGTCGTGTTGATGTCGTGTTGATGTCGTTTTGATGTCGTGCTGATGTCGTGTTGATGTCGTGTTGATGTCGTGTTGATGTCGTGTTGATGTTGCGTTGATGTTGCGTTGATGTTGCGTTGATTTTGTGTTGATGTCGTGTTGATGTTGTGTTGATGTCGTGTTGATGTTGCGTTGATGTCGTGTTGATGTTGCGTTGATGTCGTGTTGATGTGGTGTTGATGCTGTATTGATGTTGTGCTGATGTGGTGTTGATGTCGGGTTGATGTTGTGTTGATGTCGGGTTGATGTTGTGTTGATGTCATGCTGATGTGGTGTTGATGTCGTGTCTGTGTCATGTTGATGTCGTGTTGACGTTGTATTGATGTCGTGTTGATGTCGTGTTGATGTTGTGTTGATGCCGTGTTGAAGTTACAGGGTTGGTGATTTTTTTTATTTGTTTAAAAAATCAAAAAAGTAAAAAATCAATGATTTTTTATTTTTTTCATGATTTTTTATTTATTTGATTTTTTACTTTTTCTGCTTTTTTGTCTTTTTGAAGTGTTATTTTTTATGTTGCAATTAGCCTACTAACAATAATAGTATATCATGTATATGGATCATAATGGATGGCTAAAAAGGGCACTTATTGCCTTCAATAATGGCCAACAGTCCATGGTGGTGTTTACCACTTTGGGATTTTTGGTTAAACAATTATTGATAAGTCTATTCATTAGCTTTGTAAAGTTTGTATGGACTATGGAGCAAGGTAATGAGGTAAATATTGACCATTTAACTTGCTTCAATATACAAAAACACTTCAGGAATGCAGATCTTCTAAACATTGAAGAGTCACATAACAGATAGGTAGCTGATAGCTCAGTGCACAGCACTATTAATAGATCTACTAGTTTTATGTCCTATAAATCTACCAGACTCTACCCTCTATACACACCAACTAGTAGTGACTGAGTGACTAACTTCACTGTTCCCATTTAATTCAGACCAATAAACCAATACTAGACATAAACTGAACGATAACCAAACAAACCTCATACGACTAGAAACGAGACTTAAGTTATGAGAAAAGCTAACACTGTTTGAAATAATCATGTGCACAATTCAAATATTTTATATCCATTCACTGCATTTAATTATTTTATTGTAATTGTTTTGTTTCTAGTTTTACATTCACATATTTAAAGATTGAAATTGAATATTTTAATTAGAATACTCGTATTAGGGTGGAAAATCTTTCTAATTACCTAAAAGGTCAATACAATCTCAACCTCTCAATATACAGGGTGGGGCAGAACCGATTGAGCAGCTTTGAGGTAAAATAAAAGAGTAATGGAGGTACATAAAGAAGAAAGTTTATATTCCTAGAGGTTAGCATAACATACCATTTAGAAAACTTATGTTTTGAAAACAATATCTGCAAGATGGGGGCCGTTAGCTGCAACACACTGTTGGAGTCGTTCTCAGAGGAGGGAGTAACCGTAACATAGTGAATTCCGATCGCTATGCTGCGATGTTGCCAAATTTCTTGCAGCCCATGATGGAAAACATTGTTGAAAATGAAGCATTAGGAGTTGATGTTGATGTCGTGCTGATGTCGTGTTGATGTCGTGTTGATGTCTTGTTGATGTCGTGTTGATGTCGTGTTGATATCGTGTTGATGTTGTGTTGATATCTTGTTGATGTCGTGTTAATGTCGTCTTGGTGTCGTGTTGATGTCGTGTTGATGTCATGTTGATTTCGTGTTGATGTCACGTTGATGTCATGTTGATGTCGTGTTGATTCCGTATTGATGTGGTGCTGATGTAGTATTGATGTCATGTTTATGTCGTATTGATGTTGTGTTGACGTTGAGTCGATGTTGTGTTGATGTCTTGTTGGTGTCATATTGATGTCGTGTTGGTGTTGTGTTGATGTCGTGTTGATGTAGTGAGGTCGTGCTGATGTAGTGTTGATGTTATTGAACTTGAACTTGAACTTGAACTCGTCGGATGGTTGAGGCCTCTAACAAGGCCTGTTCATCTCTCCAAAATCAAAGCTAACCCAATTCAATGCAGGACCCTAATTCTGGCATTCTGGCTTATATAGTGATGGCAGGTCCCTCCAGTGATGGTCAAGTAGGTTTTTAAAAGAGTTCACAGATGTAGCCGAGACCACACTATCAGGCAGGTCGTTCCACGAGTCGACAATCCTGTGCGAAATGAAGTTTCATCGCACGTTAAGCCGATATTTGCTCTTATACAGCTTCATGGAGTGACCCCTGAGTCGCGTTGTAGTGGCCTTAATGGGTGCTGAACGCTGTAGTACCCGTGCAGGTATTTTAAACCTCGATCATGTCGCCGCGCAAGCGTCGGTGTTCCAGACAAGGTAGTTTCAGCGACCGCAGCCTCCTTGCTGGAGTACGGACACAATGTCCGTACTCCAGCAGCGGACGGACTAGACTTTGATACAGTTGTACGAATGTATACTCAGTCAGATGGTCAAATGACCTGCGAATTATGCCGACTACCCAGTTTGCTTTGGCGGTGCAATAGGCCACGTGCTCCTTGAAAACCAGCCCAGAGTATGTTGAAGTCGTGTTGATGTCGTGTTGACATCGTGTTGCTACCGTCTTGCAGCCATGTTAAAGCCATGTAGGTCACTTGGTTATGTCGTGTTAATGTCATGTTGATCATCAAGCCGTGCGCTACAACTATTCCATGACATTTACCGACTTTTAATGCAGTACTGGCATTAAAAAATCCCATGCAAATAACTCCAGAAATTGATGCGTATTAGTAGATTAATTTAGTCTTGCCTACTCAGGACTTTGTCAAGGCGCTGGACAGCATCTTGGCCTTGAAGGCATCAGTGAATATCTACATGTTCCACGGTGGCACAAACTTCGGCTTTACAGCAGGTATGTAATGCCTAAATTTTTTTAATGATCATATTATCAATGCCGCCACGAGTTTGAGTGAAGAACTATAATAGGTAACTTTAAACTTTGTGCAAAAAACATAAAGTTATTCGAAGAATGCACGAAAATATGCATTGCTTCATTTCATGTATGGTGATTAGCCAAATTAAGGAGCGTCGGTGATGGCCATAATCACTCATGAATAGTAGCAGTGCAGATTTTTGTCCCTATGTCCGTTCACTCCAATGAACACAAGTAACGCGCTTCAAGCGTTTTTACCTTGTTCATAATTGGTTAATAACATTCAGCTATGAATTAAACTAAACTTAATTTGATTTCCTCAAACTGAAAATTGCATTAATATTAATTAATAATAATTAATATTAATAGGCGCCGACACCAACGGTGGCCACTACAGCTCGTGCCTCACGACCTATGACTACGACGCGCCGCTCTCAGAAGCGGGAGACATGACAAACAAATACGAGGCGGTCCGGCGCGTGATTGGCAAGGTTGGCAGGCCTGGATTGGCTTCTCGATCAATAATATGAAACAATAACCTTTCTTCCACAAAGTAATGTGATTACAAAAAACTTTTTCCGTTACACAACCTAACTTCAACTCGTATAGTCTGTCAACGATGCAGCGCTATATGGTGCATTGATTTTATGGCACAATTTTTCTTTGAATTTTAAACAAGGAATATAATTTCTGACTGAATTCGTCGCTAGCTAGATTAAATACACATAGCATATTGACTTTTCCTTCAATTTTCTCTGATAGAATGCCGAATAAATAAGAAAATCAGCAAGTAACAGTTCCTAACACTCCAATGAAAGGTACTTCTATTAGTGGTGCCATTGACGTATAATGGCGATATATGTACTACAGTGAAAGCTTCTTCTGTTGGCCACTATATTGTTGTAAAGAGAAAATTTATTGCAGCTAGTTACAGTTATTATTTGCATCATTATTGTCATGACAAAATATGTATTATCGATGTCATTGACATGTTTTCGCCAGTACCTGCCTCTACCGGGCGGGCCTACGCCCAGCAACAGCAGCAAGGCTTGGTACGGTCCCGTACTGCTCGAGCACACGGGTCTCCACAGCGACCTCCACTCAGCAGGCCTCCTAGAAAGCATCGTGGCGCCCTTCCCACTCACCTTCGAGGAGCTCTCGGTCTTCTCGGGCATCGTCATTTATAGCACCGTTGTCAATTTCACTACCGTGAGCATAGGCGAGCTAAATTTTGTTTATCCCTACCCAAGTGGCGATCTAAATACTGCATGAACTGTTTTTATTCGCTTATTGCTCATACCGTGAGTAAAGCGTCCTTTCCCGGAGAGTTCTTAACTAAACTTGAATAAATTAATTGGTTGAAACTGCATTAAAAATTTTTGTGTTATTCCAGCCTGACCCGAGCATTCTGAATCTCGGAGCAGTCCACGACCGAGGCTACGTGGTCATCAATGGAGCTCGTCAAGCGGTCGTCTCGCGTAGCCTGTCGTCGTCGTCGCTGGCCGTGCGAGTTCGTCAAGGCGATACAATCCTCGTCATTGTCGAGAGTCTGGGCAGAATCAATGTTGGGGCTGGAATAAACGACTTCAAGGTAGTTTGCTGAGGCCAAGAGAGTAACGACAATTAGCTTTGATTACTGACTCATATGCATTAGTCAAATGCATGTTGCTACTTGCTGTGTCCAATCAAAAATGTGTATTTCATAGCATACCAAAATTTAAATTAATACATCCTGACAGTGCAGTACAATACAAATATGAATACGCTTTAAATGTTAACTATTCTCGTTACCAATTCTTTTTGTGTTAATTTTGGCCTCCATTATCACGAGGATAAACCAGAAAGGGTGAAGGCCATAGATTTGTCTCATGCTTAATATCTATCCATGGTTATTTTCAGGGCTTGACTTCCAACGTCACACTAAACTCAAAGCTGCTCTGCGGTTGGACAATGACTCCTCTCCCTCTCACTGACTACGAGAGATTGACTTCAGCTCTAGCCAAGCTCAAGATGCATACTGTGATGAAGGCAAAGACAAGAAGGAGCGAGTCCATTGCTGCACGGTCAGATGTAGCTGTAGGATTTTTTGAAGGAACCCTTTACGTTCCTGAGGACGTGTGGGAACCCAGGGACACATTCTTACGTTTTGATGGCTGGACTAAGGTGATAAACTTTTGACTTTGGTTAATAATTTATATGACTTAGTTAACAGTTATAATGACCTTACGAAAATTTATCCAGATTTGTGCGAATAAATATTTTTGGAAAAATTTAGAATTTAACAAGGAATCGCTTTTGAATTATAAAATATTTTTACTATTTAGAAAATTTAAAAATATTCATGACTATATTGGAACTAGCTTTTCAGCACCACCTCCACTTGTGCACCCAAAAGCAACATATCATTTAGGGTAACTTGTGCAGGGCATTGCCTGGGTGAACGGCTTCTGCTTGGGCCGGTACTGGCCGGTGATGGGCCCCCAAAACACGCTGTATGTGCCTCACGGGGTGCTCAAGAGAGGGCCCAACACGGTACTACTCCTAGAGCTGGAGGACGCCAGGCGCTGCAGGAGGACGCCGCCCCGCAGGCACAGCCACAATTCCAACCATCGTGCCGACTTTGGTCGGTCAACAAGTTCTTGGTACGGCAATGGTAGAGAGGATTTTTTCTTGGGCGACTGCTCCGTAGAGTTTGTTGACACGCCTGACATCGACTCGCCAGTTCCTCAGTAACTTGATAATAATATTGTCGAACGTCAAAATTCAGTCACTTGCTTTGTTACAGTTTCATTTTGTAAAATATTTGTTTTCCTCCGTCACGCATATACAGATCGGAAAATTCATCACCACGTGAAGCATTGCGGAATCAATGATACAGCTAAATTTTTACCACTTGCCAATTTCTGGATGAATTTTACCCGTTTATTTTCGAAATTTCCTATTTATTACTATCAATCATGAAATTTTAACCTGTGTTTTAAACTATTATAAAGTGCATCGCGATTGATGAGCAGATTAGTATATAATTTGTTTACACAAATTTTAAAAGCCAGGTTTCATCCACGACAGTGTTAGATCACTTCGACATTCTTGACGAATGACAATCCAATCCGCGCTCATTTTTATTTCGTTTTGGTATTGCAATGGAAAATTAATTAGAAACCATGTACCTTCATTAAATTAAGAATACTTGAAATCGTGTACTTATTTTCCATGCGGAGACAACTGATTTCAAAAGTCACGGTAGCCCACTAAAAACGAAATCCAAAAATACCTGATTATCAGAATGAGAAAAAAACATACAGGGTAATGGAGAATTTATTATGAAACAAATCATGGTCCCTATAAACCCGGATATATTACTGAAATTTTTTATCGAAGTTACGTCAAGTGATAAGAATTTTGGGGATATTATAGTACTAACTTTCTTGTCAATGTTACAGAAAACATCTAAGCCATTTTATGGCGAGCCAGCTGCCACAAACATCAGCATTGTTTATCATGCGTGCTCTGTACTCAAATATCCTGCATTGCAAAAACGTCCAAGGTTCAATAGTTTTCCTGGTAAGAAAAACTGTGTTGAACGCAATAATTTTGTTAATTTACTCGGATACGTTTGGAGTCGTTGGCATAAAATGACTACAAATTAAGTAAAAAACTTTCGAAAGTGATGAACCATTTTCCAAAAACATCTGATTTCATAATATCTTTTTTTGAACGAATCCCAACTCTTCTAACAAGATTTGCGGCAGTATCGATTAAGTGACAGAAGACTAGCACTGCACACACGACTTGCGGCAGTATCCGGTAAGTGACAGAAGCCTAGCACTGCACACACGACTTGCGGCAGTATCCGGTAAGTGACAGAAGACTAGCACTGCACACACGACTTGCGGCAGTATCCAGTAAGTGACAGAAGCCTAGCACTGCACACACGACTTGCGGCAGTATCGGTTCATGTAGCCAGGATAGCGAACACAGTCCCCTTGGCTCGCCCAGAGTCCGCACTTTTTGTTGCTGTTGGTGCACTCCTGGGTTTTCCCCGTCTCTGTAAACAAGACAATTCACTATGGGAATAGATATTAAACGGATCCAATACAGTATGTATCTCGACTACCGACACCTTCTCCAGCATCTATCACATAATAATAATAATAATAGCGGTTTCAGCGTTTATTAGGCCGCAGGCCTGTCGCCGATTCTTAACATCGCAGAACATTCACAGCATTTTGCGGTCTCGAACTCACAACTCACTGCTACAATTCTGCTGTGCTTAACCGCCCGGCCTCCAGGCCGATTCTGACCAGAAACTGGCGCACAGAGCTGGGATCGAACCCGCACCTCTCTGCTCCAATCTTGGTACACTGAACTTTAACCACTGGGTCACCCTGCCATTACATTATATACTACAAGTTTCAACTTCAAAGTTACATAATTAAAGCTCCTAATGAAAGCTTGGATTGCAGTATCTATAACAAGTATCTACGCAAGGCATCTACTCCAAATACTAATATCAGCGTCGGCCTCAACATTTACAATATAATACGCGAAAATTATTTACTGCCAGAATTTTCTCTTGGCGTAACTCTGCATGAAGCTATTTTTCTTGTAACTGTCGCAATGCAACTGTCTTGTATTCCGCAATGCATTGTAGGTGATACTTAAATTTGTTCTTCTACCTTCACAATAAACACATTCCTGACACTGACCTGAACCGGCGCAGAGCTGACAGCTTTTCATGCAGTAGAGGTGCATGTAGGGAGCGTTCAGCTCGCATTGCCCAGTGGCCCTCCAGTCGGCGCACTTCTCGTTCAGGTCAACACACTTCGAATCTAAATTGACAACGAACATGTTTAACTGAACAAATTAATTCGCTATTATCTAGTTTAAATAAATATTATTCGACCAGATGAAACATGCTTTTTTCAAGGTAAACAAAATTGGATGAGATATTAAGCACTCTTTCTCTTCTATTAAGCACTCTTTCTCTTACTTCTTACTCTTATTACTTTCTCTTCTCTCTTCTCATCATTCTTACAATTCTGTCATGCACCTAAGAACGTTAATTGCCGGCAAATTTTGACCATCAACGTTTAACGCAAGTAAATAAAAATGTATGCATATCAACTTGACGTCCTAAATACATGTCCTCATCATGAGCACCGGACCTGCACAACGGTGACACGACTGCCTGCAGTGCAGCATCATCCATGCAGGGTTTTCGGTGCACTGCCCCATCTGTGCCCACGATGCGCAGTGCCGGTCAGTGTCAAGACAGAGGCCCGGGACTTGTGAAAATATTGAAATCATGAATACTTTGGTGATTAAAATGGTCACATAATACCGGGATAGGCATGGAAGGAAATCATATATACGTTCATGTTTAAAATTTGAAAAAGGGTGAGATAGGCAAAGAAACAAATCTTGAATACGTTATATACCTACGTGCATGTTGATGAGTGAACACGAAGGACAGGCAAAAGTAAAAAAGCAATTGATAAATACGTTCGTGTAAAATATTGACAGAAAAGATGGGGATAGGCAAAGAGAGAAATCTAGGTGGCCCGAAACGGCCAGAAAAAGCAAAAATTAAATCGCTAAAACGTGTTTAGCATTAGAAATTAAGAGGCTTGGTGCAGATATGTTACTTTGAGTGTATTCGCAATTTTTTTTACCACATTAAATTGAACAATGTTAGGTTGTTGAGAACTACTTTTAGTTCATTTTCATTCGAGTTGACGATGCTTGACATAGCTGCAAACAATCTTAGGACAAATTAATTCGATTGCTGGCTTGCGAGATAAAAAACAACGTGGAAACTCGTGAATGAGACTTTCAGCTTCTTCCACGAGAGTATTATTTCTTTATTCGTAAAAGTTCCAGATTTTGACTAATTCTTCTTATGCGTAGCAAATGTTATGCGGAATAAATGTGAACTTGAACAAGATAATTTTGCATGTAACGCACCAGGAGGAGGAAGCGTAGCAGTGGGAAGATGGACGTTTGGGAAGTTGGCTGGGGCGGTCGCGTTGGGGCATGGATAGAGTTCCATCAGCCGCTGCAAGTCGTTCTGATCGGTAGACGATGAAAAAAGGATGACTTTAAGATTAGGTTCATACAAAAATTGCAACAACTTTTCGCCATTAGTTAGAGGAAAAACTGCCTCCATATAGAAATTCAGAAATTTGTGATGAGGATTTGATCCTCTACGATAACTAAATATAAGTGCATTCAAAATTGAATGTCTTCCATCGTCGTTTTTTATGAAATTTCTCGCGAACTGAATTATTATTTCACGAACTGAATTGGCATTTCACGAACTGAATTGTTATTTCACGAACTAAATTGTTATTTCACGAACTGAATTGTTATTTCACGAACTGAATTGTTATTTCACGAACTGAATTGTTATTTCACGAACTGAATTGTTATTTCACGAACAGAGTTTATGCTTTATCGTTGCCGTAACTCACTGAAGATAAGCCGCGTCGTTGACCCACTGCGTGCTGACCGGTCTTGGGCTCTACAGTGGGCAGACTGCGGTTCTTGGCAAAGGCGAAGGGCGAGTAATGCATCAGCGACTCTGATAAAAATATAAATGCTTTTGCACTACAAGTGAGGCTGACAAATATGGAGCTATTCTTTTTAGATGGTTCAAAATTTTATGATAACTTAGAGAAAACACTTCTTCAAGATAACTTGTGTCATCGACACAGAAGTTGTGTGAATTCAAGATAATGTGATGTCGAAATGTTTTGTTTTATACGTTATTATTGTCAATATATTATATTATTATTATTTAATTTTTTAACCAGCAGCTAAGTTGATCTTTCAGAGACTTTAAGCAAAATTCATAAAATCGCATCAAGTCACTCTGAACGCTCACCGAAGTCGTACTGCGTGCCCACATGCTGAAGGCCTTTAAAGTCGTACTTCTGGAAATTGTAGCCTTTGCCTTTCTGAATGTTGTCCCAGTTGATGTTGATGTATCGGTCCCTGTCGTAACGGGACTGTTCGTGCCAGAAGCCGAGCGCGTGCATCAACTCATGCATCACAACCCCAGCCCTAAAGCATCCTGGACCCAGTGACACGGCCTGGGACCCTCCGACGCGACCGATGTTGCTCGTGCATCTGAGGCATATAATTCATGAGTTCTATGGATAAATTACCATTCCTATAGATTCATTTTAATGAATTATTTGGTATGCGTGATAAAAGTCAATTCCACCATATAATGTAGCTTGTACATTTTCTCTGCAAAGAAATTGAGATATAAAAAGTGAAACAAGAGTAGACAAACGAGATACGATACTGTCGGAATATACTCGACGTTCGTCACCATACTACAAAACGCTAACTCACTATTGAACTCTCCGAGCTTTCATCCAGCTATTGACTGCATGTTAATTTATTACTCAGAAGCGCACTCTTTACTACGAACATAAATAGATGAATGATCCAGTGTTCAATATTGCATGCCTTCACTCGTTGTCAACTCACCCGTCGCCTTTGAGGAAGTGGATGTAGTCGCGCTCGTTGCTGTGAGGTATAAAGCGGACGCAGCTTTGGTCGTGCAAAGTCTTAATCGCTTTTGCGATTATAGTTCGCTCCTCGTCCCCTGAAGCAAGATAAATGTTTACATTTATACTTGAAGGTAAATAATGCTTATAGCTCACATGAATCCGATAAGTATTGGCAAAAGTAAAATAAATTATGTAAACTTATTCGGGATAAAAAGGATTAGACCGAATAACTAAGCAATAAGTGGTTCGTTATTGTATTAGTTTCATCTATTTCGTAATTAGCTAAATACAGATAAATCACTGCTAGTTACTCTTCAAAACGAATTGATTAGATGGAACAAAGTCAAGCAGTAATTTCAAGCCCAGAAACAACAGAAATTCAATAAATAATAAATTAAAATTTACCTTGGAAATTCCCAGTTAACCAGGCAACCTATAATCAGGAAAAAAACATAAAGCCTAAATAAGCTCGTCAATGTCATTAAGATTCCTACTCGACATAAACACACATAACGTACGAGTACATTATTACGGAATATGAACCTAGTTCATATTCCATTAAATAATTAAAGACAACGTAGCCATATTACTAAATACTTACTGAAGGTAGAGGACAGAAGGTAAGGCACATTGCCATTCGGCCACAGTCGCTCACTGCTGACGATGCCAGAGCGGAAGGTGGGGAGTCCCTCCAACGCAGATTTCTGCATAATATTAAACGTGCAGGTCTCCAAGTGGTCGAACTTTAATATTAATCGTACTATCTACAATAGTTTGATGACTCGGGCACACCAAATGAGTTATTGTTCCTAAAGATATTCAATGAATCATTGCTCACCAATTAGCCAAACTAAGTGCTTTAATGCTTATCTGTAGATGAAATAGCAGTAAACTCATAGGCTTCAAAGACCTATGTTTAATTTTTCATAAATTTACAAAAATGCGTCACATTTTAGAAATTTATGATTATGTGATGTATATTAGTAAACAGTATAAAGAAAGATATATCTGAAACTGTTTCAATTTCAACGGGTAATTATTTGATATTCCCACTTACGTTAATAGGTTTATCATCCTCAACAAGGCGGATGTCGCCTTCGAACTGCTCTGCTGTTGTGGTTGGGTCCACTTGTTTCGATGTGTCAACTGGTTCATCATCTGCTCCGTAAACCAAGTTGATATGAGTTCAAAAATAAGATTGCTAACTGAGTGAGTAAAATAATTAGAAATTTCTTTTTATAATCCCATTAGAATTTTGTAAAAAACAAGAACTTAATGCTCGAAACCGAAGAGACTATGTGAAGCTAATTAAAAATATTGGTTAAATCTATATAATAATTCACTGACGATTTATTACAAAGACAAGGTTTCGTATCTGAAAGCTATTCCATGGGCAGAGTAAGTCTTCTCAAAATAAATGAATTGTTGAATACGTGAAACCAGCAATATGGAAGGCAGCGTGGCATTGGAAAACCATTCAAGAAGAATTCTTGTTTCTCAAGAGTACTTGAAAGATTCAAGTCTGCGCAGGATTTAGAAGAGCAGAGTTGAAAGTTCATTTAGGCACATCGCTTATGTTTGTATAGTATTTTATTTGGAATAAATGTGGATAACCTTGGAGGGCAGCGTTTTCGTAGTCTTCTGGGGTGAGTGGTTCACCAGGTACATCAAAGTCCATCTGTTTATAAACCAGAATATGTTTTAACGATTGAAATATAATTTTCTCAACAATAAAAATAGTAAATAATAAATAAATACAATTTTCTCAACGATTGAAATACAATTTTCTCTACAATAAAACTAAGAGGAATTTTTAAATGTAAATGCGCGATAATCGTCGAAAATTTAATCTAATTGATATATCGAAAACTTCATTCAAATATTTCTAATATGTGCTTGTATGAAATTTTTTGTTTAAATTATAACAATCACTAATTACCGGCTACCGCGTCAATGCATTTTAACCCGTGTACTGACGGGAACTTTTGTTCCCAAGCCATTTGGTACGAATAGCATTGACGCCGTTAAATATATCCGTAGAATAAGGTTTACAACACTCCTAGGCAATGATTCACACTAACTTGTGTGACACTCACGGTATCAAACTGTCCAGGTGGGATGGTCACCAGACTTGGATCGTTGACGTCGAACTTCCCGGTAGTGAGATGAAGTAAATCAGCGTCAGGATCGGACGAGCGAGGCTTCTCCTTCGAGACATTATTGACAGCAGCAGCTTTAGACATATCATTAGGAATAATTTTTCCTTCCATAGTGGTATTCACAACGTCGGATGAATGATTTGAAGATATTTCTTCGCCTGTAGTTCCAGCCATGGGCTCAACACTGGCCGCATCAGGTGTTACAATTTGAGCACTACTAGTTTGAGGTGCAGACTCGTTGGACAAGGGATTTTCATTTCGCTTGTGAAATGAATTAACGGGATCTGTTTCATAGAAGCTGACATCATCGTACTTATAGTTCACCGAAGGAGCCACATTGACAAAATTTTCAGGTTCAATCCTCAGCGATTCAGATTTGGAATGGAAATCCGAATCGCGCTTCTTAGTTTTCACGAAAGTCGACCGTGGTGTCTGAACTCGGGGGTGGATAAAATCGTACGTCACCTTCAGGACATGCTTAATGTTGCTTTTTTTGTCCCTATTTTTTCTTTTTTCCATGAAATCAGTTACTAACGGAATCCGCTTCTTCGAAATTTTGTTTTTCCCAAGCGACAACTCATGGCCAGAGAACTCAATCCTGTGATCAGCGAAGGAATTCAGCTCCTTATCAACAGAATTGGAAGTTGAGAATTTTGAATCTTCAGGGATAATTGAACCATTTCCAGGTTGAGATTTAGCAGGAAGGGGGAAAATCGCAGTTACATTTGATTTAGTTGAGTTAAAAAACCCTTTGCTACTGCTAACTTCTTCAAGAGTTTCGTCAATTTCCTTCTCACTATCTGGGGTGAAGTTGACCGACATAGCTTTTAAATACGAGTAGAAAAATTCTACCTCATGTGGAAACTTTTTGTCATGCACGTTTATTTTGCCATTGATTGCCGCAGTATCGTTCGCATCGTCGTTGATTTGATTGGAAGGCACGTTGAGCGCAGTTGCAGTTGGCCATTTCAGGACAAAATTCATGCACAATGACACCAATAAAGACCACAAAAATAGGAATAGCAAATCTCGAACCAAATACTCTTCATTGTTTAGGCCTAGATTTCGACGGCGCACTATCCTGGTCATTATTTTACCGAAAATATTGGTTTTCTGAAATAAAAATATGTCGTCATGCAGCACTAAGATTCTAATAGAACAGACTACAAAAATGTAAATTAGATTTTTCATCAGAATTTAACAATAATTCGCATTCACTTTCTTCATGTATAACTTGAAGTACATCTTTGGATCACCTCAGTCATCTCCTTGCATGTAATTAAGATGTAGCATGTCATTAAGCTGGCATAACTGATGGGCAAAATAGTTTAGTAGCAGATATATTTCACAAATGTTCACTTCCCTAATACCATGCTTAAAATTAGAACTTACAGATGTGCAATTTTCTTAGACATATACTCTTACTTACAAACGTTTATTACAAATATTACTCTTACAAAGCAATAAAATGGTGCTTCGGGTATCGAGCCTCACTTTTGTACCTATATGGCACGTATACTCTTCACAGATACACTGTATGAATTGGTACAGCATGCGAGCGCCTACTGCAGCTATAACAGTTGTACAACAGACGTAATAGTAATAAAAAGTTATCATAAAAGAAGAAGGAAGGCTGCACGTACGTGATCCGAGTTTGCACCTGCTGCATACAGCGCCCGCATGGGACAGACTTGCAGGTCGTGGCTCTCGCCGGTATATTGTCTACAGTTAATTTGTATCAGAATATTGGTTGATTGTAGGAACAATCGATGGAGAACTACCACGCGTATATCGATGCCGTGAGAGGGGGTTAAGTTGCATGGTTCTGTGGATATTGGATAATATGGAACGCGTTGAAAAACGAGTGCGTCAAGAAATGATAATGATAAACTGAAATGATAATAATAAACATTGAACAAATAGTTCGACCTGACATCTAATTGATACTTGCAGATGACCGTAGACGCTCTGATAAGTGAATAATCTGTAAACGTACGGGCTCGTTGATTCACGACCTTTGCGTTTTCAAATATCGAGAAATATTAACTTCACGATTTAAATATATTTCTCCGAATGGAGTCAACCAAACAATGATTTCTCAATATTATAACAAGAGGTCGAAGGAATGAACTTCTGAATTTTTTTTTAACATATGCTAGCAAATTTGTGCATCTTCAAATGTGCAGATTCAGTTGATTTCCTTCGCCCGCAATCAAAAGATAATTTTTTATAATTCAGAGCGTGCCACGGCAAGTGTGGCAAGTCATGTCATTTAATTCCTGCGAAGACTCTAGCTCAGCTGAAGAAAAAGAATATGTTGCTCGTATCAAGATCGGATGCAGGGCGATCTGTGGGGCTATGAGCACCCATGCAAGCAAAGGAGATGTGCTGCACTTCAGGTTTTTGATACGTGCAGGCGCTGAGTTTTGCTTTGATTTCACAATCAATCGAATTCCACCTAATGCTCTGCCAATAATATTTGCCTTATAACTACCATATCTTTTCGCTGTTATTTATCCTCTTGTTCTTTCAAAAAATGTGCATGCACTAATAATGGGTCAATAATATTTGCCTTATTTATTGCTTCATTTGTTGTAGGAGAAAATGCAGTTATACGCTAAGCATTAAAATCACATTTCTCATAAATTCTCTATCAGATCATAAGAGCTCTAATGCTGTCATAACGTGTGTGTTTTATCTGGTACAGATCGAACCCCTTTTCACATTTGACTGCTCACCTTAGTGAGCTCCTCAAAAAACTACAAAACACTCGACTTTTTTCTGATTTTCGCCATTATATGCTTATATAAAAATGAGGTATAGACTCTCATACCATTGCCATAAATTTAATTTCAATTCATGTGCCACAGAAGCTGTCCAAAACGATTGGTAGTTTCCTCGGAAGGAACGTAAAGATATGCACGGTATATTTATCAGTTTTAAATATGAAACAAGTTATCTTCTCGCTTCGAGTCACCGACATGTGGAACAGCCTCCCTGATAGCATCGTTGACGCTCAAAGTATGAACGCCTTCAAAAACAGACTATACGAAGCTATGCAGGAGCATATGTTCAGTCTTAAAATGCCTAGCATATTACGGACCAGGCAATAAGTCCAGCAGCGGACCAGGCAATCGTCAGTTATGGAAAGTTCGAGTTCCAAATAAGGCCAGATCCCTTGTGAATCAATTCACGAAAAGTTCAAGAATCGGCAACAGGCCATGGGCCTATTTCTTCAATGCCGACACTTCTATTCTATTATATTATATGATGTTTATGATGTTTATGATGTTTATGAACAGGCCATGGGCCTATTTCTTCAATGCCGACACTTCTATTCCATTCTAACATGATTTTCATTATTCTTTAATATGAAATGGCGAGTTAAAAAATTATGTAACATTTTGAATGGTTGAATTATTTTAACGAAGCCATATATCTCATAAGGCTACACGATATTGGAAGTTACCGAGTTTCGATGGTAAATACTTTGAGGCAAAATTCTCTGCATGACTCGTTGCATCCTACCTAGAACGTTCCAAATAACTTATTGACATTGGAGGTAAAACATGAATACCAACTACCATATTTGCATAGATAATCACCAAAAATCCTTGTTGGACGAGCTTTTCCTACAAACACGAATAAAATGTAAACAATTGGGTAATTAACAGTAAAAAATTAATTATTGTGGGCTGTGAAACAACCATGAAGTTCGAGAATTACATTTCCTGAGGTCATTGCAATCTGTAAAAAGCTCAGGTCAAGACATTTACTCTGACCACAACAATCTGTACGAAAGTCTGGATCAGGTTTCGAACTTTGAGCCACCACAAATTCAAACCTAGTCAATTAATCTAGTATCACTTTATGATAAAATGTCAACAATAAAGGACTACACAGCAAACCTATAGGACCGTTTGCAGATGTTAGCGATGCAGGCAACAGTGGAGGCAGCAATGCGGACTTTGCGACTGCAGCCCTTGAGGTACGGCAGGTGTTCTGTGTTATTTGTAACTACAGGATAATAAAGCATCATTTCTGGCATTGGCTGCAGTATGGTGGTTCCGCACTGATAATTACTTTAGTAATCTTCGTGATCGAGTCACCGACACCTTCCTTGATTATGCAATTCACGTTAGGCTTCCGGCTGTTGAAATGCTGCATTAAATGTACATTAATAATATATCGAATTCTCGGTTCACAGACTGAACAGCAAAAGCTTTCAACAGAGCTTGAAATCGAATAAAGTTCTCTCATGGCTCCCACGCATATTTTGATGTGTTGATGCTCACATCTTGAATGAACTCATAAATTTACGCTAAACCCGAATTGCGCTATTAGTACTAATATAATTAATTATTTAAATAACTAACTAACTAATATAACTAACTAACTAACTAACTAATATAATTAATTAAATACTCCAAATTTCTGGCAGATGTAAAATATTGATTATTCGTTTTTCTCCGATTTCGTCTCGCTTATTGTACATAAAGATTCAAATCAGTTTCAAAAATCTTACAATCAATACGAGATCAATAACAAAAAATCTGCAAATTAGCAATAACATACAATGTATACAATGATTAGTATAGCATACAAACATAATACGCCAACAGCATACAGCAAATGCATTAGCAAACATACAGACAATACAGTATATAGTACCAACAACCAACAATAAATTCAACATCAATAGAATCGGAATAATAAAAATCATAGTAATACTAACAGCATACAATCATTACAATACGTACAACATTCAGCCAATGAAAAATCCAAAAAGTTACAATCAATGCAAATTGACAGTAAACAATCATTACAATACCGACAGGAAACAAGTTAACTGCAAGCCATTCAGTATCCGTTCCACTTGAAATTTCAATTTCGTTTATATATTGTGTTATAAACTAATAATATGCATAATTTCGTTTTGTTATAATTTTGTTTATATATTGTGACTTACATTCGATTTCATTTTCGATGAGCCATCGTTAATAGAAAACATAATCAATAAATATGTGTGATTATTTGATAATAATCCTTTTTATGATACAAAAATTACTGAAATGTGTTCGAAATGGCCGTGAAGTTTATTGCAATATATTTTTGAACAAATATAACAAATTAGAGGAGCAGGACTAATGACTATTTATTATTCGTTTTGAATTATTTATAATTGTTCAGAATATATTAATAGAACTAATTACAACGACGCTAATATGTTAACCCTCTACTAGTTAAGAATGATTGCAGCATAGCCTTGTATACTTACTGATAACGTCGGTTGATGTCATGTTGACGACGATGAAATTAGTTCCTAAGTCATTCCCCAATTAGTGGTACTAACAATTCATTTACGAACTCTAATTCTATCCAAGTCAATCTGTACCTTGATCCTCCCTTCGGCCCGTCTACTATCGGGCGATCCAAATATAAAAAGCCGATGCTCATATGAGACGTGTCTCGAGCGAATATATAGCAGTCCTTGTTAAATTCCTAACGCAAGAAACGCTACATTGCAATTATTGAATGAACCTAGACTTAGCAAAAGGAATAGCACACTGCTCCACAGATTGCCAGTGTGGCTATCATTATTTTGTAGCTTGACGAAGTAACTCGGAGTTTAATAACATAACATAGTGATGTGGGCGATTTATAAGGAGTAGGCCTGATGTGGCCTGTCGCCGATTCTTGAACTTTACGTGACTTGTTCACAGAAGATCTAAAATCGTGTCATTTGACCGGATCTTTTCACGACTGACAATAGTTTGAAACAGCTACTAGACTTCCACCGGGTTCGATATGGTGCTAGACATTTCAAGTCTGAACATATATTTTTCCATAGCTTTATCTAGTCTGTTCATGAACGCGTTTATACTCGGAGCGCCAACGATGTAATCAGGAAGGCTGTTCCATATGTCGGTGATTCGAAGCGAGGAAATGTTGTGATTCGAAGCTTCAAACTTTATGTTTAATGAAATACCTGTTTATGGTGCTCAAAACCAAATTTGCTTTGTGGTAGAATATTCTTTGCAGCTAGAGACCTCAAATCAAAATCATCACTCACAACTCTTTCCCACCCTTCATTACTAAATCGACAATTCTACGGACCCGCCTGCAGGCTCGCCTGCGGACTCGCGCTACTGGGCCACTCATAATTCCTTGAATACTTAACGGATCTGTATGAATTTTGGAATATGAGTATTAATTATCGATACGCTGCCGCAGGAATTATTACAGATTTTTACATGAAATATTTTTTAATTAAAACCAATAAAATTATTTTTTAAGCAACTGGGCCACTCATAATTCCTTCAATACTTAACGGATCTGTATGAATTTTGGAATATGAGTATTAATTATCGATACGCTGCCGCAGGAATTATTACAGATTTTTACATGAATTATTTTTCAATTAAAACCAATAAACGTATTTTTTAAGCAACTGGGCCACTCATAATTCCTTCAATACTTAACGGATCTGTGTGAATTTTGGATTGTAAGTATGTAGTGACTCGAATTCACATCTCGCACTAGCATTTCTCTCGAATGCCACAATTAATTTTATTAAACCTTTAAACTCGTGATTATCGACCTCTGTAACAATATCTTACTTAATGATCATGATTTCGATTACGTATTTCGGATTTCATCAATTTCACTTTAAACCATTATAAAATATACAGTAGTTAATGATCAATTTTCGAGTACGAATAACACTCTTGTAATAACGGAATTCACACTAAATGGCAAAGAGCATGGTCTGCACAACCGCAAGAACTCACATCTTTCAAGCAAATACTGGGCCCACTAGCCCAACATTCCCTTCCTCGACCACATCAAGTTGCCATCACACGGATTCGACTGGGAATCTGCCTACTGACGCATGGCCATCACTTCACAAGCTCACCCCCATACCAGTGCTCCTCGTGTCAATGCCGGCTCACTCTTGACCACCTCTTCATTAACTGCCCTGCACTGTCTCCTCATCGCAACCAACTGAAAGCTGCTTGCATCCGCCTCGGAGTCTCCTTCAGCCTGTCCTCGCTCATAGCCCCTGAATTTCCTGCTGATATAATTATCAAGTACCTCCAAGATACCATCATGCTTGACAAAATTTAGTAATCCACGAAGATGCTGAATGGGGGCGCCAATACTTCAGTCGGTGACGCGCCTCATCTTAACCAAGTAACCAAGTAAGCTGTTAGATGCATTCCTGGTGAACGGTATCACGTAGCTAGTCAAGGACTGATCAGCGTCCCCATCCTTCGATGTAATCGTAACTATTATGCGAATTTTGATGTATAAATCTTCAGAAATTATCAGCCAAGTTTGTTTTGATTACCATTCAATCATTATAGCTCATAACTGGGAGTAAGAGACTAAGAGTCATGACTCGTGTTCTCCTAAGCCTTGAACTGTTGAAATTTGATTTGAACTTAGTCCGTTAGTCGGGATATTCTTTGAGCGCTTATGAACGATTGGATCAAATCTGCCTTAAAATGAATGATTCAGGTAATGAAAGTTTAGCTTAAAATTATTTTAGATGCAATTTCGGACATAGAGGAATTTTGTATGAGTAAGAGGTAGTGACTAGTGAGGACGAGGTACCTAGGTACGTACCTAGGCTATGGCTCCGCGGCCTCCGCCTAACGGCCACGTACTCCTAGGGGCCCCATACCATTATTACCATAGGACCAAATACCACTATACCAGGAATATGGCAGCTTACAGCTCCCATACTGACATTGTCTGTCGCATCACTGCATCAGCTAGATCAATATCATCGTGTTGGCATCGAGTTGAATTTAAAGAATCTATTGTTTTATTATTAAGTGCTCCAAGTTGGAGCACTCGGTTTTCAAGTGACGTTTAATTGCAAAGTGTTTGCAAACGAGTGTTTGCTCTCGATTGAAAGCTACAATGAGCATTCAAGAGAGTAAATACCACTGATGTACATCAGTACATCATGTACATGCAATGGTTTTTTGCATTAGACCATTTTGAACTTGTATAAAATAAAATTTTTTTATGTATATTAGGCCATAATTAGGGTAAAAAAAGTCACATTTATAGCTTAGCCTACTATTCACATTTAATTGAATAAGAATAAGTCTAAAGACTCGTGCTGTTACCTAAATGCAAATAATTGGCACTGGGAGTCTGGGAAGTGGGAAAACTTGGGCTACAATATCAAGCAACTTTTGTGGCATATTCTTTTTTTTTTAATTTTACTGATTTGGCTACCCTGAAGTGAACTATTAATTTGCAAAATATGCCATTGTTGAAAATCGAAATATATCTTCTATGATTTTCAAACTACAATATTGAAAGATATACCATTTGATTTATGAAAAAAAAACTAGCAATCCACTGATCACTTTTTTTTATTATGTTTTAGTTTGTAGGCTAACATATATTGAAAAAACAGGGGTGGGGAGAGGGGGAAATGAAAAAATCCAAAAACACATAAAAAAAAGTAAAAAATGATCAGCCAATTGCCAGATATGGCCTTTAGGAATTGAATATGTCTCTTGAGTCTTGATGTGATGCTGTAGCATGTAAATTGAATGAGGATTGAGGAGCCTGATGTTTACAGTAGGTACCCCCTTTTTTGCTGTATTCTATGAATTTCATGTTTTTTTATTTTTTTTTAATTTACATGAATTAAAAAGTTACTAATTTTTGTTTTACATATGTGTACTAAGTTTCAAAATGATCCATTCCTAAATAAAAAGTTTTTTTGACCCTGTCTCAAAAGGGAGCATCACATTTTTAGCTTACTAATAAGCTATTAATGTGATTATTTGTGCTATATAAGCTTAATAAAAAATGTTCATTTTATATAAGTTTAAAACAGCGTAACACAGAAAACATTGCATGCAGTGCACATCCATGGTATTTGCTTTCTTTAATGCACATTGTTTGTAGCTTTCAAACAAGTGTAAACACTTTGCAATTAACATGAATAATGATCTATAAATACAATTTTTTAAATGAAAATTTGTAACTATTGTTATAAAATGGTCATTTTATAATAGTTCAAAACAGCTGTACATAAAAATTATATTATGTACTGTCAAACTGGGTAAAAAGGGACAGGTGGGGTAATTCAGGATGCGTGTCACGCATTTCGTAGAAATGTTGTAGCAGCTAAACTAATCAAAATATTGCAAAACTAAAAATAGTGGCGTAAACTTCAACATTTTTACTATCTATTATGTAGAAAGCTAGTCAAGAAATCAAACATTTACTATCTCTAAAAAATTGCTGAAAAAAGTGTGAAAAGTGTGATTTTGGAAAAGTACTTCTACTAAGGTCTGGAGCAAAAAAAAAAATTCACCGTATTAAAAAATTTTACTTACATAAAAGTTGCACACAGGTGTTGGCTTGAAAACGTAATTGACAGAATTTGCCTATCTCGTTAAAAAAATGGCAGCCATTTCTGCGCAACGGGGTAAAAAGGGGTAATTAGAGACAACCCCAGGCATAGTGACAAATCAGTTCATCAGTAGAATCAGTTCATTTTTAATTTACTAATTTTAATCAATTCAAGTATGATAATGCTGGTATCCATGATACTTTACTGGTCTACTTATAGGACTCAAAAATGAACTTGAGGGACTGTCTAAAAAACTCTGCTTTGCCACTATGACCCCCAGGGTAATTAGGGACAACCCCTAAAACACATTTACAGCAGATCCTCTGTTAGCAAAAGCCACGGTTAAGATAAATACTGGTTAATCACAAAGATTTTTGCTTAAATTTTAAATTTAAACAAAAATCTAAATTTAAATAAAATCTTCTTGGGGAGCAGAACAGCCTGGATGTTAGGCAGAACTCCTAACATCCAGGTCACTCAATGCAATGGTCACTCCCTAAAGAAGCTTGTTGAGCTCCTTGTTGTTACATTACATCTAAGAGGAAAAGGAGGACTTTAGAGTACTGCTGGTAATAGGTGAGTATACTCTGCACTCTTCAAACATTTAAAATTGAGTTTTATTTCAAGTGTCCCTTTTAATACATTTCCAGATAAATTCAGGAGCCTTTTATATTGCATCTAGCACCTTACAAATAGCATATGGAATTTTTTTGAAGATGCCATTCGATAGCCCTCGCAAAGAGCTATAAAATGAGCCTAAACTTGTTTGTGAAATGTTTCATGGTAAGAAGTTATTAACAAAAAATGCTCAAAGCCGTCCCTTTTTACCCCGTTTGACAGTACCTTCATGATATTAGCTTTGTTGAACGCATCTTGTTTGTAGCTTTCAAATGAGTGCCAACAATTAGCAACTAACGATAATAATTATCTATAAATGCAGATTTAATTTAAATAAATCTTTGTACATATTGTTATTAAAAAATGTTCATTTTTAATATTTTGTAAATTGCTTATACAAAAAACTAGAGCATGCACATACATATAGTTTGCTGCATTAGATGCACCATTTCAGCAGCTACAAAATGAGCCAAGAAAACTGAAAAGCAAAATTTACAGATTTTTTGACCCAGAAGCTCCCCTTGAATTGTAAATCCATCAGTTATTGGCTGATTGAGTTACGAACTCGTAACTATATTTATCAGTGCACATTAGAAAAAATGTTATTTCTGGAGCACATGTTGTAGGGTGTATTTACTAACAGATTAAGTGGAAGTAGAAAAATTTCATCCCCTGCTGCGTTTTCATTTACATCCAAAATTATTTCACAATCATTACATGATACAACTGTAGTATTCTGCCTGTAATTCTTTTAATCCTAACACCTGCAGCCATGCACTTCAAAAATGTGGCTTTGGCTCCATAAGCACAAAATTTATAAACTTCTTCTATTTATATGTTGCTCATCTCTCTCATTTACCTATCACAATATAAATTTTTAAACTTCAAGCATTATGAGGAAAAATAATAATTTCATTCATTAAATAAGAATTTAATTCTCCTAATTTATAAATATGTTGACTACATTCAATTCACATATGATTTTGAATCTATTGGCTGTGGTTTTTCAAATCATTAAGCTGATATATCTATGATTTAATAATGAGGGATGATTATTTAGACTCTAAAATAAACTGTTAAAGTGATCACTGAAAAAATTGTTTACTGAACCATTATTTTATAGAAGGTATTTTTTCATCTAAAAGTACCTGATTTGTTTATTCACATGACTAATCTTGGTGACAATTTATATTGGATCCTTGCCATGAACAAAATCCATGCCATGGGCTAAGATTTAGCTAAAGTTTAGTATGCTAGCCTGAAGGACAAATGTTTTAATTGCAGGGTGCATACCAGTCATGGAAAACCTGGAAAGTCATGGAATTTGATTTTTCATTTTCCAGGCCTGGAGTCATTGGATTTCATTTCAGGTCATGGAAAGTCATAGAACAAAAAGTGTTTTGATTTCCCTCAATAAGGTTGATGTTGGTTACATGGCCAGAACTGCAATAAAAAACAGCTTGCAGACAAGAAGGCAAGTGCACTGCAAGTTCTCACTTTCAAGACATGAGCGCGGAACTTCACTCAGGCTGTAGTCCAAAAGCTACTGGACAAGAGCCCTATCAGGTATGGCCTTGGTAGGAACCTGAGATGGCTGGTGCCAAAAGTTTTCATCAAGAAGGACTGTAAAGAAGCCAACAAGACACAGTTGAAGAACTGTCTCACTTTGCTTGTTGATTCCAAGAGATTCCCTAACACAGATGTGGATGGTGTTGTGCAATGAGATGTGCAACTTGAGAGATGAATCACAACATTGCATTGAACTGAATGCACAGTGTCAAGCATTTTCAACTTCTGATTGACTAGACACATTTTGGCATGCCATTGTTGAAGAGTACCTACAAGAAGCTCTGAAATATAGTGCAGATGCTCATGCTCCTGTCTCATGGCCAAGCCTCAGCTGAAAGAGGGCTTTTGTTCAAGAAGAAATCATGACACAAAGCATGAAAAAGTAAATGTTGGTTGCCCTGCGTGCTGTGGTTGATCATGTTGCTCATGTTGATGGCTTGGAGAAGATGACCATCACCAAAAAGATGCTGCTTGCAGCTGGCAGTGCCAAAAAAGCCACAATAATTATTTGTCAGAAGAGATCCGAGCAGAATGCAAAGGCCTGGAAAACCCAGAAGAGGAAGGCTTTGTTGGATGAGCTAGATGAACTGAAGAAGAAGAAAATCCATACGGCATATGGAGGAGGGCATCAAGGTGCTTGAGCAAGCAGCAGATGTATATGCAGAATTAATGGAGAGAAAGTGAGATTTGAAAATTATCAAAAAGTTCAACGCCATGAGGCGATCACTCTTGAACTGAACATAAAGAAAAAGTTGATAAATAACTGCCAGTTGAATGTTAGGGTAGTGGTGTTAAAGAGTGTTCTGAACTGTATTGACATTATCATGTACAATCTTGTGTGCATTACTCAATATTTGTTGTGATTTGACACTAATAAATAATAAGGAAAGTGTGGGCTTGATTTTCAGATTTGTGTCATTTCTGTTCCTCTGTGTCTGCCTGCTCTATGCATTTACACGTTTGCTATTTATCAACTTTAGGAGATGATAGAATATGCATGGTTAGTCTTTCAGTCATGCTAAACCTGTTGTATATGAGTTGGAAATTTATATTGATGGTCATGGAGAGTCATGGAAAAGTCATAGATTTTTTTTTCTTAATACCAGTATGCACCCTGTAATTGCTACTTGTTTGTAAATGTAGTTGCTTAGCTGATCCTAGCCTATCATTAAAGTGTCAGTCTGACCAAAATGAGGATCATTATCAGCTGGTGGGAATTTAACATGTATTTCTACTATTAAAATTTTCATTAGATTCAATCTTTTGCTTCCTTAAATGGTTGAAATATTGGATTTTGTGTGATGCAGGCAATTTATCAGTTTTTTGTAATTTGATGATATTTTCATTATTGCATAACAAGATGTCTGCTCTGATTGCAAATAAAATTGGATGGAGCACTTAAGAAAAAAACCTACTAGTTTTAATCAATTACTAGCAGACTCAAGAAGTGGTGATGAATTATCAGCACCTGTTGATAGGTTGTTCTTGCCTTTTGTTTACAAACAACTTTTATTGTTAAAAGAACAACTTACTAGATTCATCACTATTTCTAGATTTAGACAAGCCATCTACTGTATAAGAAAAGTGTGAAACGTTAACACAGCATACATTGGATAATTTTTGTGCACTGATGCAATAGGTAACTTGGTGAACAATGATATTCCTTTTGACCAAATAGATCATGTTGACTTTTCCAGTTTAAATTTTTGCTACTCCAGATGACAGGGTGTCCATCAGTAGACCTGCTGCTGCAAGGTCAAGAGGAAGGTATCGGGGCAGAGGCCGTACAGCTTCTCTTCATGGGGCAAGACCTAAAACTCATGGAGACTTCAATAACACTCATACCAGGAGACATACTTTTAGGTTGGTTTTTTTAAACATAATCTGTGCTGCTGTGCTTGTTTTTATGCTTCAACTTTTCAACTGGTTTTATCTCAATCTTGTGCAAGCCAGTAGATTATAAATGTCAAACCATGTGTAATCATAAGATGAAATTTCTTCAATACAGTGTTTGAGATACTCTCAAAAAAGCATTTGCATAAAATTGTTTTTCAGGACCAATCTGCCCTTGATGCTTTGAAGTAATACATTCTTCCTAATATTTTTCTATTGCAATCCAACAGCTAATTTCATTTGTCTGCCATCAACATAAACACTAATATTTTACTATCTTTCCTTATAGATTTCTTCACTATGTTGATTCAATAAGAGGTTACAAAAGCATTGATCAATTAGCTATTAACAAACCCTCAAATTTTGTTCAGCTTATTTCAATAAGGATTAGCCAATAGCCAGCAATGAATTATTGTAAAGATATGTATGATTGCTATTACTGATGCAGACTATTTTCAAGATCTAGAGTAATTTGCTGTCAATGTCAAGTCATGTGTTACAAAATGCCTTAAATTTTAAGCTTGTCTTTGCTTTAATTTTATTTTAACAGTATATTATTTTAGTTCATGCTCTCATTTCCCATTCTTCTGTTCTCAGTCCCCCCTGATCTATTATTGAAGGTAATAAACTGGGGCATTCTGTTGACGAAAGCCCATTATGATTTTATTTGCACATCTTATCTAATTGACCTCACTTATCATACCCGTAGTATGTACAGTGGTACTCTAGAAGTTAATTTAAATCTGTTCCTGAAAGAGCATAGGCTTCTGGAACAGTCCATAAAATCATGGAAAAAAATCATAAAAGTAGGTTCTGAAAATGTTCACCTACAAACTGAATGGCTCAGCAGACTAATACCAACAAGCCTCAAATTAGCAAATCAGTGCATTTTTTTTCAAGTAATAATGTTTGGTCCAGGTTTTCAAATTTCTGTTAACTTCAGAATAATGTTTTTGTCAAAAATTAACTTATATGGTCAATTACTATGGGTCTTTTATATATTTTGTGCATTTGTATGCAGAAATGTGAAGTAAATGCATTGTTTTACAGTCGAACTAGGAGTCGTAGACGCCATGGACGTGACCAACAGAACCACAGAGTTTCTGGCAATGCAATACGCAACTACAGTGATGACGGGTATGGCGTGCCCAGCAGCTATCAGAATGATGGGTATGGTGTTCCCAGCAGATATCAAAATGGAGAGTATGAAACGCTCTCTGGCCGTCTTGGCAGCCTCAATGCCTTGAACTTCAGTCCCAGTGGAGAAGACGCTTCTAGAGAAGGTAGACTAGGCCATCTTATGGACTTGCGTTCTGATGCTGGTCCAAGTAGTCTGCATGAAAAGAGCCAAGCTTGGGGAAGAAGCAACTGGAACCAACATGAATTTGGAGTGAGGTATGTAAGCAATGTAAAACTAATTTTAATAATTAAAGTGCAATTGCAGTTATAGAGCAAATCTGGTTCAGGTATGGGCCTTAACATAAAACTTGGCACATACCAACTCCACTGTATGACAAACATCGCCACTTTTTAGCTATTAATTAAACTGCTAATTTTTGGCTCAATGCCCTAATCCTGGTTTATGCCTGATTTCATAAATACTTGATTCACCATACTTGAGGATTTCTGAATCTTATTCTGATCAATACCATCAATGAGATTCCAAACTCATTGTTTATAATGAATGCTAATAATGGCTACTATTATTTAGCCCTATTACAATTTTTTCATGTTAACTGATAATAATACCTTCCAGTTTTTACTGATGGTATTTATGTAATGGTAGGCTGCTGAGACTTTGGCAAGTGTTGTGTGGTAACAATTGCAAATTGTTTCCAGATTATCTACTTTTTAGAGTTGAACATTAATGTAGAGAAAAATGGCCAACTATAAATCTTAAGATCTCAACAGAGTGTGAATGGAAAAAAAAAAACCTTGTGTACTACATGTGGTCAAGTGGTATGTGTACCATTGTTTGGCAAGCACCACCTTACTTAGTAAATGAAGAATTTATATGCACTTATCACATTTTCATCCAAAAATTTGGAAAACTTATTATGAAATTATTTACATTTTAGAATTCAGTATTAGATGAAATAATTTTCTTGTTTATATGAATGCAATTAATGACCAGTAAAGGCATTACAATTTTCAAGGAGTTGAACAATTCTTAATAAGATGTTGATGATCAACAATATGCGTTTAAAAATAACTTTTTACACTTCTAAAGAATCCAGTGTCTTTAATGTTACACATGTACAATGAATTTTTAATTTTATTATCAAATATTGAAAATTTAATTTAAAATTTTATTCTGAAAAAAAATTTGAATTTTTCAAAATGATTTTTTCTGTCAATTGAGACATGCATTGTCTCTGACTTTATGCAAGTGTGCAAAATTGCAGATTGATTGGACAGGTAGAAGTGTGTTTAATATCGATTATAAGAGATGCAGCAGATGAAATTTTTTCACTTTTTTCAATACCTATCAAAAATAAAAATTTTTTAATTTTCAAAATTTTTTGCTCTGTCAATTGATACATGCATTGTCTCTAATTTTATGCAAGTGTGCAAAATTTCAGATCGATAGGATAGGTAGAAGTGTATTAAATGTCAATTATAAGATTTGTAGCAGACACACAAACAAAAAGAAGTAAAGTTGAAAAGAAGTGTTGTAATAAGAAGGTTTAGTGATTAATTAGTGATTGAAGTGATTATCATATATTAACTAGTTTTTGAATGTAACAACATTCATTTTCAAATTAAGAGGAGTACTGAATAACATTTTGCTGGACATAATTGCATAATGCAACAACAACAAAATTTTGATTCAACAAAAAAAATTTGACAAAAAATGATTCAACAAAAAAATTTTAAGCCCGACTGAAGATGGCAGGTGAGACGGTCATGATGTCTAAAAAATTTAGCATGTAGTCTATAAATTGTGCTTCAAGGTTGTAGACTTCATTACTTCGACTACATTGGAGTAAGTAATTTGACAAACAGCCACGACATCGAGACCGCCTCACCTGGCATCTTCAGTCTTAATTCTGAAGGGCAGAGGAACCCCTCGAGACAAACTCACAAGACCGTCGCTCATATGTACTGGAAAAACTACCAGCATCATCATGCAGCGACAAACATTAACCGACCAATGATTGCCAGAACCCTCTTCACTACAGATTTCACTCCAGCTATCTATTTCCAAACTACCAGATTTGTCCAAACTTTGATATTGTTTTTTTTTTTTTTTTTTTTTGGAGGGACTTTCTGGCTCAAAATTTTTGTATTGAATCCTATTTACGTATATTATGTACTTATGTCTGACAAAATTTCATTATTCAATGCTTCTCTTAACATTCAAATGAATGATGTTACATTCAAACGTCGTTAATATATTATTTTTACTTGCCAAATCTGCTTTTTGATCTACCAACATCCTTTAAAGAATTGTTTGACTCCTTGAAAATTGTAATGCTTTCTCTGGTCATTAATTGTATGCATATTTTAAAATTCACGTATTTTTAAAATATACTGTCCACTAGTACCTGAGTTTATTAAGATTTGAAAGACCTTAATTATTGGTGTTTTATTTGGTTCGATGGTACTATTTCAGAGCACGCCCGCAAAAACGTAAGAGACACAATGACGACGGAGATGAAGAAAGAGAAGGCTTGGGAGCTCACAGCGCGAAGAGACTTTATCCTGTTGGAATCGATGTTCTGAAAGAGTGGACTACACAGCCACCAGATCTGGTCATCCATTCACTGCTGAGTGACAGGTCTGGAGTGCCTCAACTGTTGGCTGAGCCGAAAATCCCTGATGATAAATTAGTTCTTTTCATCAAGGTGCTCGCCAGAGCCTCCACTTGCACGAGCTGTCGGCAGAGCCTAATTAAAATTCTTACAATGATATTCACTGAAGATTTTGTGAATAAGCTCATTAAGTTCCACATTTCGTGGATGGCAAGCCATAAGACGGACTTGAAAAGCTTCCTTGAGGATCAGCTTCAATTGCTGAAAGTATTAAGAAAAACTTTCATTAACCAAGCCAAAGAGATGCTGCCTACTTTATTGCAAACTGTCATGCTCGTCTTTCCTCTGCTGCCCAATCAATCTGAGCTGAACGAGTTAAAGACCGAGTACAAACAGCTCCTGGCATTATTCCTTGGGAGTCAGAAGCCGGGGCCTGAGGAGGGCGAGCAAAAGCGACGTCCTTTAGCTGATCGCCTCGCTGACCTCGACGATCAGGAGCCTGCAGACGACTACCGTGACATCCCCATTGAACCCACCGACGATGAGCTGCTGCTGCTCGAAACACCTGTCATAAGGAGAAACATCACTGAGGGGGCTTACAGAGATGTTCACAATTACCTCGACGTGCAGTTTAGGCTTCTACGCGAAGACTTCATTTGCCCCCTGCGTGAAGGCATTCGCCAAGTAAAATTTGGTATGAAGGGTGTAAAAGATGTCCGTGTGTATCGGAAAGTGAAATTTCAAGAAACCCAGATCTTGCGTGGCGAACTTGTGCATTTTGTTAAGCTTAATTTACCTAGGAATTTTAGAGTTGAATACTCAAAGCGACTGCTGTTTGGCAACGTGATGTGCTTCAGTGCCGATAATTTTGCCTCTTCTTTTCTGGCAACCGTTGCAGGCCATGACCCTGACAAACTGAAGAAGGGACAAGTTGGCGTAAAGCTGCTTTCAGTGTCAAAACTCGACGCCAGTCTTGAGTACACAGCTGTTGAGTCAAGGACTTTCTTCATCGCGTACAAGCACGTGCTCAGAGCTCTCCAATTCATGGATGAAAATACCCTCCCGCTTGTTGAGCACATTGTCTTCGCTGAGAAAATTGTCCAACCTCCTCAGTATGTGATGAACGCGGCCAATGTGCACTACGATCTGCGCGTTGTTTTGCAAAACAACTACATGAAGGCGCAGGATAAAACAGATGATATTTTTCAACGTAAAATTAATAATAGTTTTTTCAACACCATTCCACCACCGAACATTCTGACGGATCTTCAGAACATTCCCATAACGAATTCTGACATAGAAATGTGGCCGAACTGCTCCATGTTTGGTCTCGACCAATCCCAACTCAAGGCATTGCATTCGGCGCTCACAAAACGGCTGGTTGTGATTCAAGGCCCACCAGGAACCGGCAAAACTTATTTAGGTCTAAAAATCATTCAAATTTTGCTCCACAATTCGCAGGCATGGTCTAGGAAGGAAACTGAAATCCGACCTGTCCCTGGGCATCAAAATCGAAATCTGGTGCAAACAGTTGATGTGGACGTGACATCGCCTATTCTCGTCATTTGCTACACAAACCACGCGCTGGATCAGTTTTTGGAAGGCATGCTCAACTTCACTCAAAGAATAGTTCGAATCGGAAACAGAAGCAAGAGTGATCGAATCCAGAACTTCCAAATTAACGAGTTCGTTTTCACCTTGAAGAAGCAACGCCGACTGCCTGCAAACATCCATCATGCCAAGTCTGAAGTGCACAATGAAGTTCTTAATGCTGAAGCGAAGCTGAAGAGTCAATATGCTCAGCTGCAGGAAGTTGTGCAGGATTTGGGACTTCTAAGCTTTGGCTTGTTTCGCTTATACGGCGTCATCCCTCCCAACATCGTAAGAAAGTTGGAACGCGGTCAACTTTACCGCTCTTGGATGCTGCCAATCGATCAACCGTGGTGCATGAACCTAACGTTGATCCTCGTCAGGTTTGGTCAATGCCTGTGCATGTGCATGTCGATCCTAAACCGGGATATTCAGCCGCAGATGACAAAGAAGACGACGAAGAATGGCATGATGCTTTGGAAATGCTGAGGGAGGCTGAGAATGAGCGCATCATTGATGTTGAGGAAGATGACCTCCCAACTGGAACTGCTTTGATTTCACCTCGAGTAAAATCATATGAAGTTAAGAGAATCGATCCTAAAGAGTTTGAAACCTCACTATTTCGTCAGTTAAAAGATGGCCTCATAACAAAAGAGGCCTGCGAGAAAACCTTGAACAAATTCTACAAAGAGCAGCGAATGTTAGGCGAACTTCTTCAGTTCACGTCCTCAACAGATGTCTCATCCGTGGCTAATGCGACCATCAACGAACAAGTCGACATCTTTCAGTTGGCTTACAAGGATAGATGCTTGCTTTATTGCCTATGGAGGCACAAGCTTTTGGCTAAAATGCGCGAGACCATCCGCCCTCACGAGGCCAACATACAGAGGCTCATGGCGAGGGCGCAGGAGGTGAAGAACTCCGAGTATCTGCACGTGGCGCGTCAGGCGGACGTTGTGGGCCTCACCACCACGGGAGCTGCGCAGTTCCAGGACGTCGTCCAGGAACTCAAGCCCAGGATAGGCGAGTTTCATATTCAGATTATGGGCATTTAAATAATCCCGTCTGATCATTATGTTCTTAATGAACAAATTATTTTGCTATATTTTAGTGTAGCGGGTATATTTCTATGCGTAGACTGGATAACGAAGCTCTTTCGGAGTGTGTTTTGCCTCTATTCAGTAGTTTGCAAGACTCAAAATGCTGATCTAATCTCCGTTCATTCCTGTGATTACTTTTGATTGTTATCAGTATATACATAGTTCTTGACTAATATATGATGAACTGATTCATATTGCATGTTGCATTTTAGTGATCATTGAAGAAGCTGCCGAGATATTGGAGGCCCATGTCGTAGCTTCTCTCAACGCCAACTGCGAGCACCTCATCTTGATCGGTGAGATAGCAACAAACTTGCGTTGTTTCTTTTTTGTCCTCTAAGCAGCTAATGAATGTCCTGTGCTTTTAGTTAAGGGATTTCTCTGCGCTAGATCAGCATTTTAGAAACCGTGATATCTGATATCTTTGCTTTTGCATCAAAAACCTAACACAAGTAGTGAAACATGACTTGCTATAAAAATCGACTCTAAAAACTTCCTTTATCTGGAAAAGAATCGTTAAAATAACCCACAATTGTCACATAGTTTTAATTAATGGTAATCAAGCTTCAGGACCAATTGGGTACACTTCTCTCAGTGTACCCAATTTAGGGTACCCACACAATGAAAGCAGGTTGCCAGCGTGCTGGTTACCAGAATTGCTGGCGCCAGAAATTGAAATAAATAGGTCTGGCTCTGGCCTATTCGTACAGGTTTTCACTGTGAACACTTACATTATTATCCTATGTTCATTCTTGTGGCAGGTTGGAGCAGGTTGCCCGCGCGAGCAAACCTGCTTTCACCTTTAAACCCTCCATTTTCTTTGTTTGCACTCAATTGGAGGGATTTTTGAGAGGTAATAACACATGATGAGCATCGGCAGTGATCAATTAATCACAGAGGTGTATGCTCGAACACCCATTTGGGACAAATGGAGTAAAGAGCACTCTAGCCGAATTGTAGTTGAGAAACTTGGGCTGACATTGCCAAGAAGATGAACTGTGAAGGTAAGGGAACATTGGTTTAATTTTACTTCAACTGCATATCAAAAAAATACCTGGTTTCTTCCTCTTGCGAATGGTTTCTTCCTCTCTAATGAAAAAGACCTGGTTTCTTCCAGCTGGTTACCTGCTTCCACTGTGAACACCCTCTCGTGCTTGTTTCAGGCGCCAGCTTCAGCAGGTAACCAGCACGCTGGCAACCTGCTTTCACTGTGTACGTGCCCTTACGCTTGATGGCAACTCAGACTGTCACCTGGCAAATTCTTGACCGTTGCTGGGCAGGGATGATTCTTCCTGGCATTCATATTTACTCTTATTCAGTATTGTTTCATTTATTAAACCTACTTATGTTTGAACTATGCAGGCGACCACCAGCAGCTGAAGCCAAGCCCTGCAGTTTACCAGCTCGCCAAGCACTACGGGCTCGACACGTCACTTTTCGAGCGGATGATCAACAACGGAGTCGCGTAGGTGCTAGTTGTAATAATAGCATAGCATAGTGATATCGGCGCTGAAGAATAGACCTGATGTGGCCTGTCGATGATTCTTGTACTTTTCGTGACTTGTCCACTGGATATCTAATAGCAGGTCCTTCGACAGTATCTTTTCCAAAGTCCAAACTGTCGATGGTTTGAAATAGCTACTAAACTTCCACCGGGTTCGATATGGTGCTAGGCATTTCAAGTGTGAACGTAATATTTCTCCATAGCTTTATCGTCAATTCTTGAACGCGTTCGTACCGGGAGCGTCAACAATGTAATCGGGGAGGCTGTTCCACATGTCAGTGACTGGAAGTGAAGAAGAAATGTCGCGTTGATGAGTTGCAACGCATTTTATCGCATTTTCTCATTGTGCTCGCCGTTGAAAAAAGGCGCTATTGTACTCGCCATGTCCGTCCGTCAGTCTGTCTGTCCGTCATCTCATGATCTGTCTCCGTCCGTGACTTCACGTTTTCGTCGACGAGAAAATGCGCTCTCTGTCACTCACTGCAGAGTACCGAGTTATATTTTTTTTAGTTAATAGCCGTGGCCTCTGATGTTGGTTCTTCTTTCAAATTCTAGTAATCCTTCTGAGACATTGTATAAGCCTTGAGTATACTTGTATACTTCAATGAGGTCCCACGCAGACATCGATTGCAGGCTTAGAAGGTTAGGTTAGATAAGAAAAAAGAAAAATAGGTATAACGGATTATTGTGAAATCTAGAACACTGAACACCAAGAGATAATCTCTCCCCGTACAATATGGCTTACGACCCCTTAGAGGAACCACAGAGGCACTCGTCAGACTGTTGAACCACGTTGCTCAAAGAAAAACAGGAAAAAACACAATATGCGTATATTTCGACAGAATTCATCCAACAACGTTTCTTCACAGTAAAGGTGGGAAAATCATTGTCACCCTTGCAGAGACAGAACCAGCCCAACCAGGGAAACCACCATGCAGCGTGATAACATTTTAACACTTTTCTTTTCTTGTGCTTAATTACATTGAGTGATTGACACTTTTTCTTTTTTTATAACACTGTGACATTTCTTCCCCTTCGCTAAAGATGAGCAAGCCACGGAAATAGGTTATCTTCCTCTTCCTTATTTTCGTACAAGCTTGTACGGTATTGCATATATCTAACATTTCGGGTGTGATCACAAAATTGCGGCATCACTTGTTACGGCTGAGCAACATATGGTGCTTATATATACATATATGATGGTATAGTAAGCTTTTGGTCCGAATAACGAACTCCAGTAAAAATTCTGTTTCGTTGCTTGTTTTTCACGTAGGTGACTTGTGAAAACACTCGCTCCACGAATGCATTGGAGACTGGTAAAAGTAGACAATTGATGCTATAGTCAACCAGTTCCAGGAATGGATGATGACCCTCAAAATCAGTGAAAAATTGAATGGCACCCCAGTTGCATTCCAGATTTCAAAACTAAACAAAAACAGTGGAGCTTATGTCGCTAAGATCGGTTCGACAACCTCACTCGTCAACGGCCACATCATCAGTGATCAGTAATCAATCAACTATCATTACTCTCGAGCACTACGCATTTTTGTTAAATGTTAACAATTGGATTGAGAATATTTCATAAGCGGTAATCTCGCGGTTCCAAAAATGGGGGGAAAGCTCTAGTCGCGCAGCTCTGAAAGTAATCTATATGATTCACCCTATACGCTGGGGAAGTTCAAATTTCCGAGATGGAACTCTGTGCAGTAATTTTGCAGTAAGTCAAAAATACCAGATCTAAAATATTCACAGCAGACACCGTCTGAAAATACCAGATTTGTGAAATCTGGTATATAAATATACGTACCAGTTGGCAACGCTGATCCCTCGTGTGATCCCGACTCACAAAGCCTGAAAGACGGCGGCTTTAAAAGAATGAACCTGCTGAGACACCTAGACGGGTTTATATGAGGGGCGGATCGGTTGACCCTGCTCCGCCCTTACGTAGCTGCATTTAGGTCTAAGGTAGACTATGATGCATAGTATACCACTGCGCCAACAAAGCATCCTTATCCCCATTAGAATTTGCGCACAGGCAGCGAAGAACAACCTATAAGGATATGCACCGAGGCCTTCAGAACATCTCTTGTCATTATCATTATGAGGGAGGTGAACCCCCATTCATCCTACGCAGAACAAAACTCATTTTACCTATTGATAACGCGCCCCAAACCACAGTCCCCAACATGGCGCAGCGTTGTGTTCGATGATCTAGCAAACTTACTCTCAAACAAATCCGTCTTCTGAAGACTATTAAATACGAGTGACACCTGTTAATCCCAACAAGACGCCCACGTAGTGAATTCCCATTGATTTTTCTGCACCGATCAAAGCTACCCACAATAACTTAAGGCACATCAGGCAGTGCTGAAAAAAAATATTCCCAAACAATGTATCCTTTAAAACACCCGTGATCAAAGCACGTCCACTCTGATGGCTCTAAATCTTACAGCGCAGTGAGATGTGCGGCTTTGTCCGGTGCCGCAACAATTTCGAGACTCATCCCTAACTCGTTACTGCTAGACTCCTGCGTTTGGTATTTCTTTTAATCCGAGACGAGACGATACGAGACAACAGGCTCTGTCCCGGTTTGCAATACAAACCGGGACAATTTTCAGCCTTCCGTTGGAATTCCGGGACGATACCGAGACGAGACAAGACGTCCCGGTTAAAATAGGTACCTTAAAATTTCCCGGAATTTAAAGTCATTTTAACGAGACATAACGAGACTAATTAATTATTGATGTGGTGTAAACTTTGACTTACCGTCATACATTTATACAGAGCTGGGCAGCGCTACTTTGAAATGTAGCGGCCGCTACCGCTACATGCTCTAAATGTAGCGGGCGCTACCGCTACATGCCTTAAATTTTGCGGCCGCTACCGCTACATGCTCTAAATGTAGCGGGCGCTACCGCTACCGCTACAATGGCTTAAATGTAGCGCCGCTACCGCTACCGAAAATGTAGCGGCATCCCGTTATTTTTTTCCCGGAATTTTCTCGTCTCGTTTCGTCTGTCCCGGTTCATTTCGAGAAAATTATTTCGAGACGCAGGAGTCTAGTTACTGCTGGACTCTTGGGAATCTGAGCTCCTTAACCCTCATAGACGACCTAATGGGGGAGCATTTTGCTCTATTCGTCGGTTCCAAAAAGTGTAGTATAAGAACTTCGAATGTAAATTAGTAAGCATCCCATCTACATGGAAATCCTGACATAACTGATAAGGGCACCGGCGAGAACTGCGGTGCGCGTCTGGGTGCCGAGAAACGTGGGAGTGCGCAGAAACTAAAAGGCAGCCAAGGTTGCGGTTAATGTCTAACATTACGATCTTCAATGAATAAGTGTCAAGTTGCGTCTACTTCCTCATGATAAACGCAGGTTTTTGAATATGTGGCCGGATTAATGGCAAAATATCCAGGAAAACATGTTGAGAGCCCCAAGGGACATTGTCTGAGCCTGAAACTCGTCTTTTCAAAGATCAAGCCGTATGCAAGTAGCCCTGCAGCATGTGGAGGCTAAGGGTAGGTCACACAAGCCTCGTCCTTAGATAGCTTGTTGAGCGCTGCTCTATGGCTTATTGTAACGACTGCATAATCCCCCTGACGGTGCTGCACGTGATGGCGGAGTGCCCCGACTAAAGTACCGACCAAAGAAACTGTTTCCCAGATACCCTCTTAATGCACCCAGACGAAACCCTTGTTAGAGAGAGAGGTCCCCCAAGTTGGCTGCAAAACAGACAAACACTCGTGATATTTACTAACCTCAGGTAGTCTGCTCCAAGAATGCCAGGGCTGATGACACCAGCACCATTCTCACACCTACCTGATGACACACATGCACTAACCACACGAGTTTAGCCGAACTGTACCTCAACCTTCTCGGCAACGTGCTTTGACCGCTATTCCGAGCTATGACAAGCGTTGAGCGGACATCCGCACTGGGAATAAAAATATCTATTGTGACCACCGTCACAGCCGCCCGAGTGGACCATACTACAAATCTGAAACCACTTGAGGTCGACAGCGCCGTGTAATTGAGAATTGGACCTTCGACCCGAAATAAATCATAATTTTCTGAAACGCAATGAAATTTACTACTTTCCAACTTTGCTATGAAGGGGTAAAGACCGATCTATATTGCTGCAAGTTCTGATGCCACACCATCCTGTTTCATTGTAACCTTTCTCACAATTAAACATGCGAACCTGACGCAGTTCCTGTTTGCAAATTCATGAAAATCTAACTCATCTCGATGCTGTGTAATCAAATAAGAAATATCTGTATGTTTGTTATATCTAATAAGAATTCCTGTTGTTTAGGTACGATACTCTGCAGTATCAGCACCGCATGCGTCCTGAGATCTCATCTCTCCTGGTCCCTGCAATATATCCAGAACTCGAGGACCATCCATCGGTCCACGGCCGAGATCACATTCGGGGTGTCGAGAAAAGCGTCTTTTTCGTGTCTCATCTCGAAAAGGAGCTCGCAGTTAGTAGCAAAATTGAATTGCAGCGCCGTAGAGAGCATACGGTGTTAAGACCTTTGAGTGCATACATGTTCAATATGTGCATATCTCATTCCGCATTTTTAGCTCAAGAATACATCAATTTGTTGCTAAGCTGCACACTACAGAGCTCGAAGTTTGATTACGTGTCTTATATGTGGGTTTAAGTTATTTAGGTAGGTTTACCAGCTGGGAGCTTTTCTGCCGTGGCCGACGTACACAGCAAACGGCCTTTCATGTATGTGCTTGTGTCTCTGCCTCAGTTTAGTTACTGGTTACTATTTTCTCCCGTCTCTGATATGTTGCTGTTTTTGAAAACTTGTGTTACTTGCCAGCATTCCATTTGCTACCTGAATTTGAGAAATTAGGCTAATGTACTCTTTTCATGCAAGTAATTTGATTAATAGTTGAACTGCTGCAACATAATTTTCCACTTAATTTTTCAAGTAAGACACCTTCCATGCGAATGATAATATTTCGAAGAATGATACTGATGGTTCCACTGACTGATAATTTTAACCAAAAAAGTTATGATTGCAGTAGTTGAGCATTCGCGTATGGAAGATTTTGACAACCGTTAATTACTCGCTCGCAGGAAATTGATGACAACCACAGCCACAGCAACGTCCACGAAGCTGAGTTCATCATGCGCCTGGCTCGTCACCTCGTCCTGCAAGGCTACGACCCTGAGCAGATCACCGTCCTCACGCCCTACTCCGGCCAGTTCTTCCTGCTGCGTAAAGTAAGTGAGGCTACGACCCTGAACATCTATTCATATGAGCTATTGCTCTGAATATAAATGCGACTCGGTAAAAATTAAAGAAACAGATAAAATAATATTTGACAAGTTTACGAACAAAATCTTAGTACGGGCAATCTAATCTAGCGTGACTCCGAAGTTGTTGGGAATCTTTATTTGCCAAATTGAGTGTAAATGATTACCAGTCTAGAAGATTTCATACAATTCGGTACATTGATACATAGAAGAGAATCTATTGATCATGTCAGCTGATATTCTATTGTTGAAGCACTGATGATATTGCAAAAATTAGTCATGATTAGAGAAATCGCTACTCAATTCAATCCTTTCAATATGGGAAACGGAAAATTTATTACAAGCTTTGTTAAAAATTCTACATAGGTAGTTCATTTTATGTGTACTATCTAGAGTTGCTATTCGGACGGAAAGGAATGTTCCCACTGCCACTTGTCAGCATTATAACGCACTTGTCATGGATGAACTGAAATTTTGAGCTCTGGACCTAAATTGGCACAATAAAATCTAAAATGTACAGATTTTTGCAAAACATCTATATTCATTTTAGGCGTCATATTAAAAAAAATAATGGCCCAGATCCGCGAAGGTTGTTGGAGAAAGGCTCACATGCAGCCCTGACCTGTTAGTTCCAATACTATTTTCCACTAACTAGTTTATAATCAGCCCCACGGTATCCTATCCTTACGTTTCACATCCTATAGTTCGTGTACAATCTAGTACCTAATGCTACGTATTGTAATGCTACCATTTGAGGAATTCTCACTAACTCACACAATCAAACAAAATAAAGCAAGAAAAGATTCAGCTGAGATTTATTGAAAATTGACGATTTGCAGGTGCTACTGGCGATGATATGGCCAGTATAATAAGGCGGCTGAATTGGAAAGTTCATATGCTGGAGTATATAAACCAGAATGAGCGAGATGACCAAAGTCAATTTCAATTTGGAAAGACTGTGGTGTCGAATAATTCATGGTATCGAATCCAGCTAAAAAAAAGGTGCGTAATGGCGTTGCCCCGATGCGTCCCCGATACTGCAAAGTAAAATTAGCACCGTTCACTATCGATGGAAAAATCCTACCTGCATAATGAATAAATTACGTGTGAATATGAAACAAATAATGAATAATGTATCAAGAATAATAAACGAACCTAAGATTTGAATGCGTCTCAGTGTTAATGATTTTCGAAGGTGGCAAATTTGAAATATAGAAGAAATCAGTAGAAGGGATGGTAGTCCAGAGTTCAGACTCTCGAGTACCTAGAGAGTAGACGGATAGTAGGAAAGTACAGCTAAAGATTTGGCTTTGGAAAATTCGAGAAAAATATATTGAAACGTTGGTCATATCTGAGTAAACTAGTTCCTGGGCTAACTCTGGGGACTACGTTTACAAACAAGAAGAGAAATGAATAGTTGAGCGTTAATTTGCCTAGAGTACCAGAGAACAAATTAATTACACAGCGTAAATAAATTTAAGGAATAGATAGCACATTCATTCAAATAAAACGACAGTGAATAGCAATTCAGGAATATAGGCAGAACTCAATGAACTACTCCTGCGGTGCCGGCAGAAGTTGATGATTATATCGTCCAAAGAGAATAATTGATATTTAAGTTTGATGCGTTTATGAACGCTGATCGAAAATTGGACGAATAGATCGAATGGTGGCTGGTACACTAGTCTTGCTGACTGAACCGTATGAATGCTGAAAAAAAATCCCTACCCTACCTGAAACTACTACTTACGTAAACTCCGGAACTAAATACTACATAATCGACATAACAACTAATAAATCAAAAATCAGCTAACAACAAAAATTGGCAACGGTGGGAAAAATTTCCTACAGGTACGCGATTCATGTTTTTGTTTTACGTCTGATTTTATGCTCGTTCTCTATATTTCATGTGAAGAAAATATGTCTCCAAATCAATGACATCTGCATATTTACAGGAACAACGGAAGTACAGCCCGACCTGCGACGGCATGCGCGTCACCATCGTTGACAACTACCAAGGCGAGGAGAACGACATCATCCTGTTGTCCCTGGTTCGCAGCAACGACTCGGGCAACGTGGGCTTCTTGAAGATCGAGAACCGAGTGTGCGTCGCTCTGTCGCGCGCCAAACTTGGACTCTTCATCATTGGCAACATGCAGCAACTGCGCCATAGCTCTCCTCTTTGGATTAAAATTGAAAAATCCTTGACGGAAATTGATGGCCTTGGTGATGCACTCGTCCTCAAATGTCAGAGCCATCCTGATCGCAAGGTTGCTGTCAAGACTGCTGAAGACTTCAGGACCATGAGTCCAGAAGGCGGCTGCACTCTGCCCTGCTCTGGCCACTTCACAAAGTGCGGCCACAAGTGTCCTCGGATTTGCCATGCTGATAATTCCAACCATGCCAAAAGCGAGTGTCGTGAGCCTTGCGCTAATAAATGTGGTCGAAGAGGTCACCCTTGCCCTGCTTTGTGTTATGAAACGTGTCCTCCTTGCAAGGTTGATGTAGTAAAGGAGCTTCCATGCGGTCACTCACACCTTGTACCATGTCACTTGCCACGAGCATCTTTCTTGTGCCCAAATAGAGTTGTTAAAACTATTGAAAAATGCGGCCATGTTATTGAAATGCCCTGTCATCAGAATCCTGCTGAGAAAAGGTGTAGAAAGAAGTGTGACCTACGCCTGGAATGCGGGCATTCTTGCAACCAAACTTGCCACGTAGACTCAGACCCAGAGCACTTGGAGTATCTGTGCCAGTCACCATGTTCCCGCAACATGAAGGGCTGCTCGCAGGATCACAAAAGCACTCTGTCATGTTGGCAGACCTGCCCCGATTGTAATATTGAAGTTGAGAAGAAACTACCGTGCGGACACAAAGCTCAGCTCGCATGTCATGAACCCGTAGAAAGTTACGCATGCCAGGAGAAGTGCCGCAAAGCGCTGCCTGATTGCAGCCATCACTGTCCCCGACGCTGCAGTGAGCCCTGTGGTGGCTGTCCTGTCATCGTCATGAAGAAGATTGTGCCATGTGGACATTGTATCAAGGTTTCTTAAATCTTTTTTCTTGTATCACTGTTGGACTCAAATACTCAAACGCGACTGATGCATAAAGAGATTCAGCTCATGTAATATTTCAAATGCAAGGATGAATGTCAATTTCACAAGAATATTCTGAATTTTTTTTTTAGACTTTGCTCGTTGTTTTAGCTTCTTGTAAAACTGTTCGGATATTCGCATGGCCAGGTTCGATGTAGTAAATGTAATTATGTTGACATTTAGCTTACATAGATAAACATTTACTTGTTCCGGACGGTATTTTCGCTAAGACTTTCCCTCACTGTATACGAACATTTGCTGAGACTCCTCTTCTCGCACTCATCCGTGTCCACGGCTAAGATTGCTCTTTTCCCTTATGCCAGATGCAATGCGGCAAAGCACCGGAGCACTCGTTGTGCAACAGCAAAGATTGTAGACTCCGCCTGCCCTGCGGTCACAAGTGCCCTCGTCCCTGCAAGGAACCCTGTGGCGGCTGCCAGGAAACCGTTCCTGCGGGCGTCAAGTGCATTGTGAAGGATCACGAGCTGTTGGTCCCCTGCAGCAGCCTGCCCCTGACTGAGCCTGACTACTCCCAGTGCCGAGCGCTCTGCGCGGCCAGCCTGAAATGTGGACACCGTTGCAAGGGCTCCTGTGGCTCCTGTCTTCATGGTCGCTTCCATCTGCCGTGTGCTGAGAAATGCGGACGAACGCTCGTGTGTGGTCACGTGTGAGTGCAATGGCGTTTTTCTTACCAATGCTTCTAGAATGTTGGGTAGAATTCTCTGGATTTTCGTCAAGTTGCTTATTTTTGCGCCTATTAATATGGAGCACTCTGAACCTAGGAAATTTCATTAGTAATTGGTTGGTGGTGTTGGTGAGTAATCGATTACAACTATGACACTTGACCATTCTTCAACCGCTAGAAAATATGATCTTTTGCTGGAAGTCATTGGATTACGCTGTCGTGCATTTGCATCTTTCCATCTAAAAGCAGCGAGTTTTTGCGAAACTATTACGCTCCTTCTCTCTCTGCTATTGCACGTCATTGCAATACTTATCAGGTGCTGCTAAATTACTGATACGTAATTACAGCATTCAAAGCCTTCGAAGGATACCCGTCATGGCGTTAAATTTTATCGTCCGTTCTCTGCGTATCTCACTGCGATATTCATCAGGTGTTGGTATGTGTGCAGGTGCAAGTTTCCACGTATTGGCTAGTTCAAACTATTAATTAGATTTTTTGTTCCGTACACAGATTATTGCGATATTCATCAAGTGTTGGTATGTGTGCAGGTGCAAGTTTCCACGTATTGGTTAGTTCAAACTATTAATTTGATTTTCGTTCTGTGCGTATCACTGCGATATTCATCAAGTGCTGGTATGTTTGCAGGTGCAAGTCGCCACGTTTTGATTAGTTTAAACTATTAATTTGATTCTACGTTCTCTGCGTATCACTGCGCTATTCATCAAGTGTTGGTATGTTTGCAGATGCAAGTCGCCCTGCAGCGCCGCATGTCCGCCTTGCCAGGAGAAGTGTCGCTGGAAATGCTCCCACAGCCGCTGCAATAAAATCTGCGGCGCTCCTTGCACTCCGTGCCAGGTAATTTGCAACTTATTTTGCCTTTTCAGTTATCTAGCGCCATAAATAGTTATCGAGTACTGCTGATTTTTCAAAAACGCGAGAATACGAGAGCTTGCAGAATGCATTTTCTCGCTTTTTTAACAAGTATCAAGATTTCTGAAAACGAACCTTAAATTATCAAATATTCTCACAATTTTCATAGACATTAGCAGTATGGCAATGTATAGTAATAACTAAGGTCCAACAAGTCCGTAATTATGAGCGCAAAGGAGCTTGTCTAAGTGTGTTTCAGCTCAATGCTTAGTCATTATGCTGCAGCCGGCCATCAACAAATGAACTAGTTTCTCGTCACACTTCACGGACCTAAGTAAAGGTTATTGTTCAACTCACTTTGAAGTGTCATGGAGCTCAACACTTGTGGAATGTCGGTGCACGTTGTCTTTAAAAACTATTTGAAAGGTAAAACAGTAGTTGACGTTTTATTGAAGGGCAATATTCCATCTGAGAAGACAGCCCTTTTTACGCGAGAAGCCTATTATTTCTCAGCGCCTCGGGTAATGTGTCGAAGAAACTTGGAGTAATTTTCTGTGAACGCGTCGGGTTTCGCTTTGATATTGCTGTAAAGGAAGCAGACTCTATTCAATCAACTAAGGTGGTATGCAGAAAAAAAAACTAATATATTAAATGATTTTTTGAATTGGAAGTTAGCAGCACAAACTAAATAAATACGAGACGCTAACAATAACACAACTTCTATCAACGAACACACTAAAACGAACTACGATAATAACTTGTGGAAAAGGAGGTGCAGCCGTATAGGTCTAACCTGTTCCAAGAAGCACTCTGAATAAATATGGCTCGGCTAGTCGAGCGTTTGCAAAGTTTGATCCATTGCATGTAATTAACGAAATTCACCAATCAAAAAATGAGATATAACAACAAAATAGAATCCTAATTATTCTAAGGTGTTGTTACGTGGCTCACTTGTTGAGCGTGGAAACAAATAATGTGAGTTTAATACCTAAATGCTATAGGAAATAAATTACTGTGTGGGAATAATAAGTTTATTGAAATATGATGGACGCATGCTCTTATAATTGACTGCCCTGCCACCAGAAAACACGCAGCAACAAATGCGCGCATCAAACTGTTACTTATCTATGAGAAACTACCTTTTGAGCAATCATTCGGCGATTTTCTAAAAATGCGTCGGGTTTTGAGTTAAAACTTTCATCTGCCATTAGGAACCCTGCAGAATCGAGTACAAGCATCAGACGGTTGCGAGACTCTGAGAAATTATTGGTTAATTATTTGACGATTTTTTTAAATTGATTGCTCTGCCCACAGGAGCCCTGCAGCAGCAAGTGCGAGCACCAGGCGGTGCGGTGCTCGAAGAAGTGCGGTGAGGCCTGCGACCAGAAGCCCTGCGAGGAACCGTGTCCCAAAACACTCAAATGTGGCCACCCTTGCGTGGGTCTCTGTGGAGACCCCTGCCCTCCGCTGTGCCGCGAATGTAACTTCGACAAGCTTACGGAATTTGAACTCGTCTGCAACGAGAAGGACCCAAACGCCCGGTTAGTGAAACGTTGCTCGCAGTTTCAATAGAGTTTTGCTTACTATGGCTCAATTTTTTTATACTGACGGATTGTCACATGATACTTTGATACTTCGTTTTTAAATTGCACATAAAATCACAGTTGAATTAACCCCTCTTTCGCTCATTGAAGTATGAATGCAAAAGTTATCACGGATTATTGATTATTTTTGACCATATACCATGGCCTATAATGATCTTTAATTGAGGTCCTGTTCATCACGTTACGTAATGTTCTCATCTCAGGTTCATGCTGCTGCAAGACGATAGGTTACTACTATACTATTTTTCGTAATGATTATAAGTGTTTCTTAACGTGTTCATCGCCCTACGGAATGATGATCTCTTGTCAGATTCGCGCTGCTCCTAGAATGTAGGCTGCTACTATACTATTTGCCGCAATGATGTAAGTATTTACTTAACGTGTTCATCTCCCTACATAATGATGATCTCGTGTCAGATTCGTGCTGCTCCTAGAATGTAGGCGGCTACTATACTATTTTCCGTAATGATGTAAGTATTTACTTAACGTGTTCATCTCCCTACGTAACGATGATCTCGTGTCAGGTTCGTGCTGCTGCAAGACTGTGGTCACACCATTGAACACGATGGCCTCTCTGGCTGGCTCAAGCACAAGGCCGACAATAGCGT